GCGGCGACGCAGGAGTTGGCTGAGGCTGGGCTTGCCCTAGGCTCTCCCTGGGACTGGTAGTAGGCCTAGGTACAGGTGACATCATCATGGGACTAGTTGGTCGATCCTCCGGCGGGGGTGAATTCTTGGGTACTTGGGGTGATACAACGGGATCCTTGGGTGATACAAAAATCTCCTCCTCTTCTGCATACCGAGCTCTCAAGTGATCCGCATGACAAAATCGGGGTTTTCCACCAATAACACTCACCAGATAGGTGACCGGACTTCTCTTTAGAATTATTTTGCCAGGAACCCAAGATATCTTTTCATTTCGGACAGTTTTGACATAGACTGCCTGACCTTCTGAGAAAAATCTGCTTCTTCCCCTAAGCCTATCAGCTGCATCTTTTTGTTCCCTGTGTTTTTTATCAATGGATGACTGGAGATTGGGTTTTAACATAACCAACTGAGTACGAGGCTTCCAAGACAGGAACATTTCTGCAGGGGTTAAGCCAGTAACTGTATTTGGAGTGTTGCGGTACGCAAACAAGAAATTATCTAATTTCATTTGAAGAGTGGTACGCTGAGAACGCTGATGTTCCTCAATCACTTGACGCAAAAGGTTTTTCTTGACCTCCTGAACACTTCTCTCTGCAGATCCATTTGAAGCCGCATGATACGGGGGAGTTAATGTGAACTTCACATTGTTGTTATGCAAAAAGGTTTTGAACTCTTGACTAGTAAAAGATCTTCCGTTGTCCGACACCAGTTCGACAGGTAATCCATACGATGAAAACAAGGTACGGAGTTTCTCAATAACCTTGGAAGAATTCATGGAACTCATGATAAATACCTCTAACCATTTAGAGTATGTGTCAATCAAAACTAAAAGTTGCTGTCTCGACTCTGGATCCTCCGCAAAGTCAATGTGTATCCTCTGCCATCGGGTTGATGTTGTAGGCCATTGCTGCAACGGTACTTTAGGTATCGAATTCCTAGTTAACTGACACGCAGAACAAGAGGCCACCACGTCTTCAATCGACTTCTCCATGCCTGGCCACCAGACATAACTTCTCGCCAGCATCTTCATGCGTGTAACTCCCGGGTGTTGATCATGCAACATTTGAAGCACAGATGAATACAGTTTCTTTGGAATCACTACACGAGAACCCCACAGCAAACAACCTTGTTCCACGGACAACTCGTCCTTCTTCCTTAGAAAAATAGCTAGTTCTGGCTCAACCGAGCTCGTCCAGCCGTACATCACAAAATCTCGGACCTTCGAAAGAATCGGATCCTTATCCGTCATTTTACCTATATGCAAGGCAGTAATAGGTGCAATGTCCTTGACAACACAGAAATTGTTCATCACTTCTGTACACACATCTACATGTGAAACAAAATTAGCATCCAGCTCTATAGGTTCCGCTTCTGCTAAGGGTAACCTAGACAACGCATCAGCGTGAGGGACATCCACTCCCTTCCGGTACCTAACCTCCAAATCATATGCTGATAGAATCAAGGCCCATCTCTGCAGCCTAGCTGCCGCCATACTAGGAACGCCCTTTTTAGAGCCAAAAATAGCCGTCAACGGCTGATGATCAGTCTGTAGAATACAGTGTCTTCCATATATATACTTATGAAACTTTTTGACTCCAAAGATCAAAGCCAGAGCCTCCCGATGTAACTGAGAATAATTCCGTTCACTGGAACTTAGCGTTTTCGATGCGAAGGCAATTGGCCTTTCCTGACCATCGATAAGATGAGATAGAACAGCAGCCACCCCCCTGGGACTCGCATCACACGTCAGAACTATGGGCTTTTTAACATCATAGTGAACTAACAAACTTGAGTCCAACACCCATGATTTACTCTCCTGAAAAGTCTTAGAACACACCTCCGACCACACCCATGGATGATCCTTATGTAATAAGTCATAAAAACAGCTTATTCTAGCAGACAGGTTAGGTATAAATGCATGATAATAATTTATTAGACCAATATAGGCTCGTAACTCTTCCTTAGTACTAGGCTCAGGCGCTTTACGCAGCGCAGTTAACAAACTTTCTTGTGGACGGAGACCATCTCGAGTAATCACATGTCCTAAATACTCGATTGAAGATTGCAAAAACTTACACTTTTGTTGGTTTACTCGAACACCAAACTCATCAAGGCGTTGCAGCACCTGCGCCAGACGGGCAAGCCCCTCTTCCTTAGAGCGAGCCGCCACTAAGACGTCATCTAAGTACGCCACCGTTCCTGGAAGACCTGTTAAAATTTGGTCGATGGCTGACTGAAAAATTGCAGGAGCTGAAGACAAACCATATGGTAGCCTTTTTAAACGATACAGACCCTTATGGGTAGCTAGGGTCAACAGATGTTGCGATTCATCCGCTACCGCCAATTGCTGATACGCATTTGAAAGATCAAGGCAGCTAAAAACTGAGCAACCGCCTAGAGTTGCAAAAATATCTTGAGCCTGTGGAAGCGGATAATGTTCCATTTCAATACACTGATTAAGAGTAATCTTATAATCGGCACAAAGCCTAACACCATTAGGCTTAGGGACAACCACAAGTGGAGTGCTCCACTGTGAATTAGTAACTCTGTACGCAACATCCTCTTGAACCATGCGGTCCAACTCACTCTCAACTTTCTCCCTTAACGCAAAAGGCACTGGTCTCGCCTTACAAAACTTAGGGACTGTCCCCTCCTTTAAGACAATATGAGCCTTAACACCCTTAATTTCGCCCGTTCCAGGCTGAAAAACTGACTTAAATTTACTCTTCAATTTAGCAATGTCCAAATCAGAACTGTGATCCACAGTGGCTTTACATGAAAACACATTTTGCCAATCTAACCTCAACTGGCCTAACCAGTTTCGCCCCAACAGAATCGGCTGACTCTTACTTTCTAAACTAACTACTGTCAAAGGCAAACTCGCCTGCTGATTATTATATTTAACATTGACATTCACTTGTCCCAGAACAGGTACATCATGACCTGAATAAGTAGTAAGTTTCACATTTGCTGGCCTAAGTTTGAGGTTAGAAAATTTTTCATAAAATATCTCAGAAGGACATATAGTCAAGGCACTGCCTGTATCTAGAATCATTTCTAAATATACATCATTAGCTACTAGGCCTACCTTATAGCCGTTGTCTGATCCTGATTTAAGGTTGTACAGACCTATCTCTGCCATTGGAACTTCTAGGCCTAGGCCTACCTCTTCCTCCACTTGATGGACCCCCATCCTAGGTGTCGACTTTTTACCATGGAAACTAGAAGATTTCTTGGCTTTACACACTTTCTTGAGATGACCTACTCTCTGACAACCGTGACACTTGTAACTGGCGAACGCACACGCACTAGGCCAATGACCAGCAGAACCACACCTCCAACAAGAGTTTCTAGAATTTTGATTTTCACTACTCCTATTCACGAAAGTTTTAGGCCTATTTTGACTTTTCACATTGATTTTCGCAATGTCCCCACGAGGTTGCACAAATAGGCTTGACTGCGATTCGGCCTGTTCCAGCCTGAGCGCTGACGCATAAGCTTCGTCAAAGTCCAATTCCTCCGACAACAATTTCTGCCGGATAGTTTCATTAGAAATGCCGGAAATCACTTTGTCCCTCAAAGCGTCTTTCAAAAAGGTACCAAATTTGCACGAACTAGCCAAATGTTTTATTGAAACCACAAACTCCGCTATGCTTTCGCCCGGCTTTTGCACACGAGAGTAGAATACATATCGCTCCGCCACAACCAACTTCTTGGGCGCATAATGTAATTTCAACAACGCTGCAAGTTCATCATAGGTCTTAGAATCTACCTCTACCGGTGATAATAAATCGGATAGGACCGATAAAACCCTGGGACCAATAACTGTAATTAAAACCGACACCTCGTTTTCCTTCTTGACATTGTTCGCTTTGAAAAAATGTTTCAGGCGCAACAAATAGGGCACAATGTCCTCCTCACTTGGATTAAATTCAGAAATCCTGCCAACACTAATACTCGCCATTTTTAATCATCTCAACTATAATACGCACTAAAACAACAACTGTTATCGCGTACTACCCTAACTATGATAAAAAGGTTTATTACCGACTGCGCCAAAATGTCGTAACCTAACGTTACGCTAGAAAAGTGGACGATATAGCAAGAGAACCACTTACGTTCGTTGGTGGACATAGAAGAAGGAGCCGTGACGAATCATCCCACTTCAGGGCTCAGTGCACAGTGCAGCCACCCCGCAAAACATAATAACTCTTCCGTTACTAATAATTATAACTGTTCATATATGAAACTATAATGACTTCTACTACATAGGTCTTACCCTGAAACTATGTAAATTGACTATAGGCCTATAGCCTACACAGAATCTACTAGTTTCCATTCCGTAAAGCTAACATGAGACATCAGTTGTCTTATACTATATTCAGGGAATCCAGATCTGTATTTGGAATACTATTTACAATTTCATTGACATTATCAAGCAGGAACCTATTAAACTCATCCAGGCTAGCGCTGCTCAAGGTAGGCCTACTACAGACAGTAAGGTACAGTACCTAACTAGGGCCAGGCACCTTAGGCCTAGGTCAATTAGGTTCAACAGAACTAACAGAGATTGAATAGGATTTAGAGCCTGATAAGGTAAGAAAACAGTAACCCTAGGCAACTCAAGCTGGGCTAGCCTAAATCATAGCACGGCTAGGCCTAGGTTTATTTCCCCTGTTAAACAACAGATTTTCCTATTAGGCTATAGGCCGAAGCTAACAAATAACTTATTTGAATTAGCAGAGATCCTCCATTCAATTAACAGAATAATACACTGAAAGCTGATGCACAAACTAACAATTTTTGGCCTATCCTTTCTTTGTTTAGAGATTTTATGACAGCTGTTTTGTGTTTAAAGAAGACGAGAACCTTAGGAAATAAGGGGTTTTCAAGAATTTGGAAGGGTTAGTAACACATAGGTTGTGCACTTGGCAATATCTTACACGGAAAAACAAACTTACAGTAATATTTGCGTGAATTTCATATCGTTTTCCATTTCTTCCAATAAATCTGCAGTTTAGCTCATCTACACTTGCTGACACTATTTGAAATCGTTCATGGGTCTTGGGAAAAACTGCTTCCAAAGTTTTGATCTCTTGTTTGAGAACATTTAAACAAGCCATCTGAATGCCTCTCCACCTTTACATAAAATAATACTTCACAATTTACTTTGAGGAAAATATAGAAAATTTACGCTTGACTATTACTCTTAATCCGATTAAGATGGCGACTGCAAGCAGCAATCGTGCTCCGTCGTCGGACTTCGGTTATTTCCGCCAGCTATCGGGGTAAACATAAAATGTTCGTAAAAAATATTCAAAATGTTACGTGTGCACTATAAATAGTTCAATATTAATGATTTTAGTAACACGGCCACTATCAAGGTATAGATGTTATAGATAAAACATACTCCGTGATCGTAAGTGTCTGCTCTGAAATTTTCAAAGCAGTAACAAGAACAAGAACATTGGTACTTGGTAGGAGTTAAAGGCGGCCGTGCCTATTCGCGGCCACTCGAGATTCTCGGCAGTCGCCACTCGCCACCGTCCCGTGACTGCCCAAAGGCACAGAAAACGTACTACTATACCTATAGTAGTATAGGCTATAGTAGTACGTTTTCTGTGCCAAAGGCTACTGGCTACTGGTGGTGGCGAGCCCGAGTGACTGTCGCACCATAGATCAAACATACTCCCTTGTGTTGGTTAGTCTATGGTCGCACCCCACTGAGCTATAATTCTAACTGGAGGTAGCACTGAATGTCAAAGATGCGTGTCGCCAGCCGCCATGTTTGCGTGAGTCTGGTGTCATAAAAAGCCATATTATTGCTATAACTATTATTATACTTGGCTTAAAATACCTACTTTGTATGGTCGCCATTTCAAAGAAAATTATTAAAGTATTAAAAGTATTCAAGTATGACAAAAATACTCACTGCTATACCAACCTAGTTATAAGAAGCCATGTTATTGCTATGGTAAGAAAACTTACTGCTATACCAACCTAACAAAATCAGCGACTCGCTTTTGACAGACTTCTGCCATGGCAGTGCTACCTCCAGTTATAATTTTAGCTCAGTGTCGCACCCTCGCACCACCAGCAGCGGGCCATGTTATCATATGCTGCTTATTACGTGTAGCCACAGAAGCGGGCCAAAGCGTAGCCCCACTCCTTATCTCGCCACAGTCACGATTTTTGTGTTACAATTGTATTCTATTTTATTATTATTAATTGGTTATATTAATGTTAAAACTATTACGGTATATAACTTTAAGGTAAGTGCTAGCCCATTGCCTCGCCTAAGCTGAAATAAAATTATTCACATTCTTGTGGGATATGGATAAGTCACCGTATATTTTAAAACGTTTTTATTAGCTCGCTTTCTTGTCCGAAAAAATATTAGTCGGGATAAAAAAATAGTGGTCTACAATCAAACGTTATTTGTAGGCTATTTGAACACTTGAACAGAATCAGATCATGAGCGCCATCACAAAATAAGAGGGGCTTTGTGGAAGAAGAAGCAATTTGTATGATGTAGGAATATTTTGGGGGAAAATATAAGTGACTAAACTATTTTCGGAATATAAAATCTTGTGAAAATACTTAAATAAACCTAATATAATATTTATTTAAGCACTTATTATCCAAGGGAGTTAATGCAACTAAGCAATCAATGTTGTTCAAAGGTTTATTGCGGACATTTTCCATCACGATTGTAAAAAAACAATGCACAACGTTTCGGGATCTGGAATCTATCACGATATATTAAGTACCTCTGTCACTATTACAGTTATATTATTTTTTATTTAAACTTAATTATACCACTGGTATTTTTTCACATGGTTTGCTCTTGTAACTTCATTTAGACCATATCTTCACCTCATCATATCTTCTGTTATTTATTTATTTAGATTTGGTTTTTGATAAATAATGTTATGTTTGGATGCAACTACAGTCGACGCACAGGCTCGCTGCCCATGTCGGCTTATTCTTTACTAGCTGTACCCGCGGGCTTTGCCCCGTTTAACTTCATATGTGAGCTCGTTCGCATGGCTCATTCACGTCCTGGTTGAAGTTCGTTCGCTACGCTCACTCAGCTTTAGGTTGGAGCTCGTTCGCTGCGCTCACTTGCCTTCAGGTTAGCTCGTTCGTTACGCTAACCTAACTCGCCTCCGGGTTGAAGTTCGTTCGCTACGCTCACTCACCTTTTGGTTGCAAATTAGCTGTTGTCATAGTTAAAAAAAATAATAGTGCTGCACTCTGTTGGTAATCCTTGTAACTTTAATGCTATTGAATATCACAGAACAGAACCAACTTGTTAAATTGAAACAGCTGTTATGATTCATTAATTCCATTTAAATATGAGTACTCATTAGGTTAACATGGGAAACTCCAGAGCCACTGGGGCGGAGCCCGAGAGTCCGATCAGAATAAAAACCACTTAGTTTTCCTATTTAATGCCTAAAGAATCAGTGTACCAATTTTCAGCCTCCTAGGTAAGTGGGAAGTGGGAGAATTAGTGATGAGTGAGTCAGTGAGGGCTTTGCCTTTTATATATATGGATAAACATATGTACGCTTTGTAAACATAGATGTAATGCAAAGGTTAATTTTATGTTATTCTTTTAAATTCACTTATGTTTTTCTCCTTTAAATAGGATTTGTGTACAAATTTCTGTAAATAATTTGTTGGAATAAAGATATAATTCATTCATTCATTCATTCATTCCTGATCCCGTCCTCAGGTGAAAAAACTTAACTAACACATTACAACTAACAATACACAAACGCCCAACCTAAGTTGGAATAGGTAGGTACACTACAGAAGGTAGCAGTCAAAAATATGCACTGTATAGCAGTCAAGTCATGATACAACATACAAATAATAAACAATCACAAAACACTATAATCTATAAAAGGTGTCTCATTGGTGGAGTCATTGCAAACGGTGCTATTAGTGTTCCATTGTGTGAGCTTTTTACGTTACACCTTTTATAGATTGTTTTGTGATTGTTTATTATTTGCATGTTGTATCATGATCATATCACTTGACTGCTATATACAGTGCATATTTTTGACTGCTACCTCCTGTTGTGTATTCCAACTTAAGTTGGGCGTTTGTGTATTGTGTTAGTTGTAATGTAGTGTTAGTTAAGTTTTTTCACCTGAGGACGGGATCAGATTCCAGATCCCGAAACGTTGTGTATTGTTTTTTACAATCGTGATGGAAAATGTCCGCTATAAACCTTATTTGAACAACATTAACTCACCATCACCAACAATGAACTTCAAACTAAGCAATCAATCTTCTTATGTCTGGTTGTCAAAAAATGTGTGCATAGTTTTTAGTTTTCCTGGATACCAAAATAATTTTAATATTGTACGGGTGGTCAAAAATCTGTTAACTTATTCAAACTTCTTTGCTTCAGGTAAAACGGGGAACATCCGGTTCTAAAGCTACTTCAGCGACAGGTAGCAATATTCATCTTCAGAGAAGGGGTCTAGCCTAGTGATGAGTTACCTCTGTTGTAAGCTGGTTCAGGAATCAACCTTTATTTATCTTAACAATAATGTTTTTATGAATTTTGCAAAACACCATCCTAATATGGGCTAGTATGTGGGTGCATCAACACAGTTACAACAGTACTTAGTTAGATACAATTCAATTTGACACAGCCTTTTTCAAACACCCCAATACACAGATGCACGTTGAACTTAAATAAATATAGCAAAAAATAAAATCCTAGTGATTAGATGAGGAAAGGAATAATATATTCTACATTTTTAAAGATGGGCTCAAGAACAAATTGGGAAATTATTGCACAAAGATATCTTTTTGCCCTCAGATTGCCTAAAAAATAATGTAAAGCGAATAGAAAATGAAAATAGTCTATATGAGTAAATAGAAAAAACTAAATAGTATAAGAAAAATATCTTAAACAACTGTGATTTAAAAAATTACTACTAATGTCTTTTTGTTTATACAATAGTGGACGCATAGTAAGAACGTCCTAAAAAAAACCATTCTTTGGTTTACCTCTGGACATCTGAGCTTAGCTGGTTGCAAAAAAATATTTAAATTAATTGTATTGCAACTTATTTTTTCCTCTAAAACATCTGAAAGGATAAGGTTTTGGACGAGTCAATATAAACACTGACCAGTACTGTAAATGATCTTGATTTATTTGTGAAAGTATGGCAAGAAATATTTAGAACTACAAAAATGTGCTTTGCTCAATCACATACACAACATGGTCCCTAATTCTTACCGGTACCTCAGGAAAAAAGCACTTTGGTAATATTCCAAATAAAATTCAACACACAAAATTTAATCACACAAAATGTGATTAAAAGATTTTTTAAATATCTAAAAAAATTGATGATAGAGAAAGAACATTCAAAATACTATTGCATTTAATACTTATGCTGCAACACTACTTGTTACTCTAAGTGCTTTTGAAATATTTAGCGACGTGATGATAAAAAAAAATTAAAGAGTTGGCTCATTTTAGAACATTGATATAGTCTTAACAATAATAACATCTCAATAATTAAACACTTAGAGAATAAAGTTTACATAAACGTGCAGTCCAGATAATAAAAACATTTATGAAATTTGCCCATTGTAGATAGTGTGTCTTAATTTTTACATATATTTTTGGATTAATATTTGACAATGTAACATTAGGGTGATTGAAAGTGACACAAATGGGTGATATAGAGTAAGAAAAAATCATTCAATAAAACTGAAATCTTCTTAGGCGGTTACATAGACAATTCTAAAATAAAAAATCCCTGATTAGAAGTGGAAAAATATAGGTCTATACACAGTACCATGTATATTTCCTAAGCAACTGTCTGCTGATTTAAATGGCCCCTCTCTTTCAACTATAAAAAACACTACAGATAAACTTATTTCTCAAACAGTCATCATACTGCCTGTAACTGTAAAAAACATTTAAATGAGGTGGGTTTGCAGCTTTACTCTAGGTGGTGTCCCCATTTCAATAATTGATAGTTGATATCAGGCCAGAGATAGGTGTTTATATTGCTGAGTATAACAAAAAATGCCAAAGACTAGATAACAATTTGCAAAGAAAGTGTTTATGCCGATCATGTTACAGTATATCACAAGTTAGGTAGAGTGGCTGAAGTTTGTCTTTTGAGTGATTTCAATCTTCCAATCAAATGTGTTAGTTTAAATTACTTTAAACTGAGCGATTTTGTCACTAAATCTTTATATAGGTGTAAAGTGTAACGATTTCAAAAGAGCACCAAGGTATACGCCAAAAACACACATTTACATGATCGCAAAAGTCTGGACATGCAGTGCTTATTTAAAAAAAATCAGTACCATATACTTCAGAACCTTACGTGAGTGAAAATTATTCAAATTGAGTATTAACTTGACTAGGTGTACAATGCAGTTGTCTGCTCGCAATATTGAGCGGAGCAATCATATTAATCCAATACTTTTCCAAAATCAATACCTACTACAACGGTTTTGTGTCCTTGCAGTATTCAATATTAATGGTACATTTGGTTCACATAAATGAGATGTCTACTTGCAGTATCATATTCAATGGTACATCAGGTTCACATCAATTCAATGTCTAATTGCAGTATCAAAAGTCAATGGTACGTCGGGTACATGTAATGGAATGTCTACTTGTAGTATCCAAAGTCAATGGTACGTCGGGTACATGTAATGGAATGTCTACTTGTAGTATCCAAAGCTAATGCTATATTTCGCTGGCAGTATCTTAAGTCAATTAGGCATAAGCCTGATTTGTTATTCATTTTGTTGTTCATTTTTTTGCCCCTGCTCAACGGTATTGATCCAATTATTGTTCTTCCCTTTGGATCTGTATTCGTAATGTACTAGTTTAGATGATTAGTTGACAAACATATCTTAAGAATTTTTTGCAAATACTGTCATAGCGACCAATGAACCTATAAGACCCCTGGTAAATTTCTAAAACTTTAAATTCATGTAGGGATAAGCCCTGTGGTTCGATTTGTACCATTTCAGATTTATATCTTCCCATAGTTTCTTACTACGACTGTGCTTAATTTAGTTCAGCCATTCAGGAGGAGTATTTGTAAAACAAAAGCAGGAGGGTAGTATAAGAGCTTGGCTTGCTACACTCAATGAGGAACAACCCCCGAATTTTTTACAAACAGCCTATAAAAGGAATGTGCAATTGAACAACCTATTAACAATGTTTAACAAGAGATGATACAATTATAAACAAATACAAATTTTAAATTATAAAGTTAAAAGTTAAAAGTTAAATTATAAAATTAAATTAAAAGTTTAAATTATATGAAACTTTAATGTAGGCATATTTTATATCAAAATCATACAAGTAAAGTACTGTTACAAAGTTAAACACAATGCAATACAATGGATAAATAATATATGGCATACAGTACAGACATTAATCACAAGATTCAATAGCTAAAAATATATCTCTAAAACTTAAGTTAAACAGATATAAGCGATCACTAACCTTAACCTAGGTTAACAAATACAAAGCTTGAGCTTGCCTGAAAATTACAGATCAACAAATATATATAATATATAAAATTAAATAAAAAAAGCTTACAAACGAGAAACATGAAAAAGCCTTATAACATTTATAAAACAATGTATACAACACAATCAATAATATAAAGCTTAAGTACCGCTAACAACAAACCTATAGTAACAAGCGTAGAAAAGATTCGATCTAGTCTTACAATAGGCCTAAGTTTTGATTCAGTGCAGTGTTTAAGTACAAAACATGATAAGTCTAGTGATAATTGAATACTTACAACTAACATTCCCAAAATCACGTAATAAGAAACAAGTTACATGTAAAAGCGTTTAAACTGTCTTGGTGTTTCATAGAGAGATTCGTTTCACAATTTAAAAATTACAATTAATTATAACATCAAGATTATCAACTACAAAAATACAACATTTATAAATTAAGAAGGCTACAAGATAAGTAGTAAAGCTTTAATGAGAGTTTGTCAGACAATTTTTGATCTACCGGGAGAGGTTTTGTGAGCTGTCACTCGGAGTGTCTTGCGTCTGCATCAGCTCAGGGTTGATGCGGTAGAGAGGAGCGTTACGCAGCAGCACTGCACTGGCGTCTTCACGACCAAGCTCTGTCAGCTTCCTGATCAGTGTGCCTGCAGAAAAAACATATATTGGTTAGTTCTTAAAAGTGCATACTGCAGAACATTTTGCAGGAACATGCTGCGGAACATTTGTGAGACATATTACAAGGCATGTGCCGGGACAAGCTGCAGAACGTACGTTGGAAAATTTGGTGGGAAATGTGTCCCAAGACATGTTCAAGTGCAAATTTGGGAATAACTAAAAAAAATATAACATCAAACAATACCATATGTGCTTACCAACACTAGCCTGTGAGGAGTCCAACAACATGCCTGTGGGGCTGTTTCCTGACTTCTCTATGGCTGCAATCTTGTCTTGTAGGTCTAGCTGGACTGCTAGGAGACACCAGTCCTTTCCTAGAGGGTCGGGTGGGTCTAGGAGAGCGCACAACTGTTGACGACACACAGTCGATAGGCAGTTGACAGACAGCTGGTCTGCTGGCACTAGCATCTCACGCACCTGTCAAACCGCAGAACATTCTAACTAGATCCAACACATTACTATATAATCAGATCTTATAGTTCTTCAGAAAAGTCAAAAATTTTCAGTATTAATTCCAAACTGAGTAGCCATTTGGATTACTTTAGTAAAATGTAATTGAACTATATTACAACTTCTAATTTCCTCATCTTCATAGGTTTGAGTCCTGCTTCTGGAACAGTTTTATCAAAACGAGCAAATACTGAGCCTGTACAATACTGATTGATTGATTGAGTACAAGAATAGGCCTACACTGGTACAAGTTAAACAGTGGTGTAATGGAACAAGAATCGCGTTTCCACTCTGCTTAAAAATATCTTATATATTAATAGACAGCCTGTGTTTTTCTCCAGACAATGGTAAACGTTCCTGCTTCCCGTACTGAAAATTTTACTACCACACCACTGAAATTAATGGTACTGTAATTACTGTAACTTACAATTGTGAGTCATGAAATCACTGCTGTGGTTCAAAATATAGCATTGTAGATGACTTTAGTAAAGGCTTTGGGCTACTAGACCATAGACAAAAAGAATTAAATATAGACTGTCAGCCGTGCTGTGGTTACCATGGTTACCATAGGTTCCGGCGCACACCGCTGTAGTTTATGTAGCGTGTACGCCGTAAATACATGGCGCTCCAAGCGGTGTGCGCGAGAAGCTATGGTAACCGCAGCACAGCTGACGGTCTATATTTAATTCTTTTTGTCTATGACTAGACGTACATCAACTCACATTATTTGGTTTGTTGTTGATAGTCAAAATTTGTAATGGTTCAAAACTGGACCCAGCTGTTCCTGATCATTGGGCTTTAAATAAATGATCCTGGCTAATGAAACATCTGATCTTAGTCAGTAACAAAGCTACACAGATCATCTCACACCATTCTACACTCATCCTTCACTCATATTTGGGTTAAAATACACACCTAGGTGGTGTCCCCATTTCAATGATTGATAATTGATAATTGGATAGACGCCAAGCAATTATACCAAATGAACCAAACACCAAGACCAAGATTTTTTTATTTATTTTGTATGTAAAATGACACTGTCTATTGCATGTATGTAATGCTGAAAGACAATAAATGATGATTCTGATTCTGATTCTGATTCTGACTGGTCAAAGAAGACTTGGTAACAGGGTCACGATTAGAAAATACAATAAACGGTATCAGCATACTTTCTCCCATAAGTTTGTCAACAACCTGTTTATCATGGGTAAGCGGTGGGAGTAACTATGATATTTTATAGTTAAAAATCCCAAAAGTTGAATTGCACAATTTTTTTTAGAGTTATAAGGACCATAACATATTAATTTTGATCAAAACCAGCTTTAAAAAAAGAATCAGATTGTTATTTTATGGGAAAATAACACAAGTCAAGATAACTTTTGAACCGTAATTTTTACAATAATGGGATTTGTACCATTTTGTTCAGAATTTAAATAAATATAAAATACTATTTATTTTTAATCATTTGGGCCATTTTCGAGAGAATCCAATTCCTCCGTTGTTTTATGGGGTTTTTAAGGAAAATCCGCATTAAAAAAAAAAAAAAAAAAAAAAAAAAAAACACACACACTTGGAGATACCGTGGATTAGTACCTACATACCAAATTTACTCTAATAAAAATCGGACCACAGGTGTGGTCTGTAGCTCTGTACACATCCACACATAGGTACAGACACACACACACATACATCACTTTGAAAACTAATTTTTTGGGTTCAGGGGGACCCAAAACAGATATGTCCACACAAAAATCAAACTAAAAAATGTTGACGAAAAACAATACTTTCTCCATATACTATGTATAGGGGGTGAAAGTAAAAAAGAACAAAAATGCTATTTGTGCTGAAACAGAAAATACAATATACCAGCTTTGCTTTAGACAGCTTGTAAAGGGTTTTAATTAATTTAAAACCAAATAAAGATTAAATTTAACAGCCTCTCACCTCATTGGAGTTGAAAGCAATAAGGTCTGACAGAGTTTCGTTACACTCGGCCAGAGGATTGTACAACTTTGAGTCAAGCTTCTCTTCAGAGAGAAGTGCTGTCATCAGCTGGTCAGGGGGGAAGCAGTAGGATGCTGCACAGTGATTCTTCAAGTCTAAAGTACTCAGAACATGCTTCTCTACAGACAGTCCCGGGCACATCTCCACCATCACCTGCAAGTTATCATGTGCACAGCTCTATGACATTCCATACACAGTCCTAGAAGTTTAGGGTAAACCGATGTGCTGATACAAATTATTCGGATAAAGAGATGTCACTTCTACCGAGTGTGGTCCGGTTAAACCAATGTCTGGTTAAAAGGTGTCCGGATAAGAGGGAGTCTACTGTAGTGTTTGAAAAATACTGTATAATACTCTCAGCATTAAAGTAATCTAACCCACCCCTTTCCCTCCTGATTCGATGAAAACAGCATTTGATATAAAATAGATGTTACCCTTTCTAGTTGTACATCTGAAGATCATGTTCTAACAAAGAAATATAGGAATGATTTATGATTTTTCTAATTGTCAAAGCTTTTTCTGAATACACTTTAAGAGAAAGTAATAGACATTAGACATTAGACAATAGACAATATTCTTTATGACATATTCATTGAGAATAGTACAGCGTCATATTTACAGGTGGATTACAGAAACATTCCATTTTAAGGTCTTGAGATGAATTCTTTTTCGGTGTAGAAGGGTCTTTCTAGCAGCCAGTCTGTGAGTTTTTTCTTAAAAGTAGATGATTATTCTGCTGTTTAAGTTGTTCTGGAAGGAGGTTAAAGTATTTAGCTCCTTTGTAGGATAGTTATCTTTCAGTAAGTGATAGCTCGTGGATTGGAAGGGTGAAATCTAATGCATGTCTGGTTTTTTGATGGTGTAGGTCCCTATGTCCAGTTTGTTGGGTGGCTATTTCATGTAGGATGGTTTGACGGATGTGGAGTGACACCACGGTGAGTTTCTTTTGTTCTTTGAACGGTCCGCGGTAGTTGTCTTGTTGTCCAATGCCAACCAAACACTTGATCGCCTTCTTTTGTTGGATGAGAACGCGTTCTAGGTTGAATGCAGTGGATCCTCCTCAGACCTCTATGGTATATCTCAGATGAGGTTCAAAAAGAGCGAAATAGGCTACCTTCGCTGCATCTGTTCCACTTATTTGTTTTATCCTTCTGATGACGTAAGTGGCTGAAGAAAGTTTTTTGCATATGAAGTCTACATGAGATTTCCTTGTTAGTTTGGAGTCAATGGTCATGCCAAGGTACTTTGTCTCGTTGTTCTTTTCCAAACCAGGTAGGGTGATGTCTGTGGTGGCACTTATGTTGCTGAAAATAATTTGTACGGTTTTATTTTTGTTAAGAACAAGGTCATTTTCTTTGTGTTTGGCCTTGTTGAAATGTGCTAGTGTGTCTCTATCTATATTTCCATTGACTTATATGCAAGAGTGAGGACTGTGTCATCTGCGTACATGACAGTGTGACAGGGGCCTTGCAAATCTTCTGGTAGGTCGTTTGTCGGGAATAGGAATAGTACAGGACCCAGTACTGACTCCTGTGAGACACCCCAATGTATGTCAGCGGTTTCTGAGTGGGCTTTGCGTATTATGTTATTTATTTTCGATGTAATTTATTTAAACAAGCTGTTTTCTGTCTTTCAGGTAGCTTCTGAACCATCCTGCTTCCTTTCCCTTAACCTCCAGGGCTTCTAGTTTTCTCAGAAGCTGTTCATGGTTTAGAGACAGTCAAAAGCTTTACTGAAATCAAGAAAGAGGGTGGTAGCTGTTGAGCCATCCTCAAGCTGGTCCAGTTATATACTCTGTGAACTGTCTTAGGGCTATGGTTGTTGAGCGGCCTTTGAGGAAACCATGTTGTTGGGTAGTGAGAAGACTGTGCTGTTCAAGGTGGGACATTAGTTTAGAAGACAATCTTTTCTCTAATATTTTTACAAAGGTTGGTATTAGTGAGATTGGAGCTACATGTTTCTTTTGAATGCCCGTTTTTGTATTTAGGGTAGACTTTTGCAGCTTGATAATGAAAATTATGGTTATGATGTAAAATAAAAGAATAAACACAAAACAGATTTGTTTTTTTGAGATTTTCTTATGGGACACTGGGGAATGGAAACACATAAATAGTCCAAATTTCTAAGGCAATGATTCAGCTTCTTAGTCTTGACTCTCATTCCCTGTTATATATCCTAGTTTTGTATCACCGATGGATTTGTTTTAAATACCATCATCACCAATGGGCATGACTTTTTGGCTTGAGAGAGAGGGAGAGAGCAAAAGCATATAACATTTTACTACGATTCCCACAATTAATATTAGTGCTTCCTCTGAAATAACTAGTTTGTAGCAAGAATAGTTTATACGGAGGAGTGTAAACCTAAACATGTAATTTTTTAAACCCAATTTTCTTGTGGTCTGAATCCTGAGCATATTCTCCAGTGAGAAACGTTACAAGATCTCCTGGTTTGTACTTCTTTATGAAGGTAGTCATGATAAATAGTAATAAATAATCTTTATTTTGACGTAAGAATAGAAAGCTATGTCACTCATATTAATGTTTATAGATTGTTAAATCCTGCAATTGTAAAAAATTTGTTGATGGTTTATAATATACCTGCTTGTTGCTTGTATACACCTGTTATCATCTTGTAAATTGCAAAAAATTCTTGAACTAAATTAAGTCTTCATATTGTAAACTGTTTTATGCCATAAATAAACTAATTGAATTGAGTTAAAAACAGAGGCATCATTGACAAGATCATATATTTTTGGGACGCAAATGTTTAAATACTGTTTAACCCAATAAAATCTTAGGTAATTGAGAGTTATACTTTCATCTGAGGATAGTTAGTTTTGTAGATATACTCTTTGTTTTCATACTAAAAATAAAAAAAATAAAAAATTCAATTAAAACTGAATGCAGTTTAATGAATATTACATGCTAAAATTTTCTATTGTATACATGACTTTACCGTGAGAAATTCATACCAGATCAATTATGTCGAGTATCTCCTCGATGAAGAAGAAGCAGACTGGAGCTGTATGCGGAGGTCCTCGGACTTTGATCTCTATCCACTCGGAGTGACTCGTGTGTGACGATGTCTCCAGAGTCACTAGACTCTCTATAAGTCCTGAGCACAACTTGGACCCGTGGAACCACTGGTACAGATCCGTCTCCGAGTCACAATAGTTCATCACGGTCCTCCGTAACTGGACCTGTAAAGAAATAGTTAGAACACACAACTGTTGCAAACAATCACAAGCACCTCATAGATTAGTCATACAAGGGTCCATGAATTTTTAAGTCCCTTTTATTTAAGAATATAAAATGAGACAATTAACGAAGTCACGCAGACTGCAAGTTAGGGTCACGGGTGTTGTTGTGGTCACAGAAAAAATTTATCAAAGTCACGGAGACTGCAGGTTATGCTCAAGGGTGTTGCCGTGGTCGTGGAGACTGTAGGTTATGCTCAAGGGTGTTGCCGTGGTCGCGGGAGTCATGCTCAAGGGTGTTGCCGTGGTCGCGGGAGTCATGCTCAAGGGTGTTGCCGTGGTCGCGGGAGTCATGCTCAAGGGTGTTGCCGTGGTTGTGGAGACTGTAGGTTATGCTCAAGGGTGTTACCGTGGTATGATTTTGTTCAGGTTATGCGGTTTGTAAAAATACTTTTGTAGGCAGAGTGCAGTATATGCATGGTTTACTCACCTGGATCCTAGGGAAGACAGAGTGCATAGATGCATGGTTTACTCACCTGGATCCTAGGGAAGACAGAATGCATAGATGCATGGTTTACTCACCTGGATCCTAGGGAAGACAGAGTGCCGTAGATGCATGGTTTACTCACCTGGATCCTAGGGAAGACAGAGTGCATAGATGCATGGTTTACTCACCTGGATCCTAGGGAAGACAGAGTGTAGCAGATGCATGGTTCCCTCAGGCGTGTGTAGCCTGACACCTCCGTACACAGCTTGTTTATATCTTGGGTCGTGTTCCTCCCATAGACCTTCCAGAGTCTCCACCAGGTTGTAGCATGGGAACTCATACTCCGGCTCTCCATCCACATCACACTGTAAATATCAGACGATAAATGTAGACTTTATGAATGGTTCATTCAGCAGTTGGCTACAAATGGTCCATAAATCAAAATGGATTAATTTTTATTCTGGCCCCTGAGCCAATCTGTTTATGAATGTGAAACAATGGCGGATACAAGCTAAAAAACAATGCATATTCCTAATTTGATCTGTATGACAGATAGATAATATATAACACATAGTATTCACATGGATCACATCAATGGAGTGTGTACTTAAGTATTCAAAAGTCAATGGTTAGAGTACAACACACTTGTTTACAGCACAATCCCACTACTCCATTACCTACGAGACAAGGACTATGGTCGGAACAGTGAGAAGGCCGTATTATCCAAGGAGCAGCAGTTCAGGATTTTGCCGCCATTGCGGAAAACAATGATAGGCCTTATGTTGTCCAACAGGAGACATTCAATATTTTGCCACAATTACGGGAGACGATAGTGATTTTACGTTAAGCACAAGAGATATTTAAGGAGTTTGCTGCTATCACAGATAACAACAATAACGTTTCTGGGAACTCAGGAGACGATGATGATGATGACCCCTAATCGGAGCGAGATCGGGAGATGTTAAATATTTTGCTGCGATCGTCGAAGACGATGATGGTTTCTTCCATTACCACAGTATTCGTATAGGATTTGCCACGATCGCAAAAATGATAATCATGTTTCAGTTACCGCGAATGATAAAACGATTTCTGCAGCCATTGCGGGAGACAGTGATGATGTCCAAGGACTATGGGAAGTGGTTAAGATATTATCACAATAGAATTATAACCGATAGACAATGGCACGGTCAGATAAAGCGAGTAGTCGGACTAGCCAAGGTTGGACTAGTGAGCTTCTACTGTAATTGCTTACCAAGTACTCATTCTGAAAAATTAATTTCAAATAGAAATTAATGAGGACCCAGCCAACCTGTATGCAGAGCTGTAGAGTTTCAAGGACCTGCAGTAGTGCGAGTGCGTCAGTTTGAGGGAAGGCCGACTGGAAGTCCTCCACTGTGTAGCAGCCTGTGATACGAGCGTGGGCGACAAAGTCTATGGACAGAAGTTGTCCTAGCACCGGCCCACATAGCCATTGTGGAGACAACACCAGCAGATCTGGGTGTAGACAGGACTTGAGATACACCACCTGGTGGCAATACACCGGAGATGAAAAACTAACAACTGACTATAGAACTATACATTCCACCCTTAAGTAAAAACTGTTGTCAGTTTTTGACTTTTAGAATCAAAATGGGCACAGTTGATAAAGTCGCCGACAGAGTGTGCTGATATAACTTACTGATTTCTGTTGAATGCGACAATGTCAAACTGATAGGGCGACTTTTTGAGCTATAGCATCTTTATGTCACATTAACTATCTCAATCACAAAACCTAAAGGAGAAAAAAGAATAGACAGTACAGTACTCTGTCAGTAGCTCATTCAAATACGTTCTTTTTGACAAAAATTAGTACAGCTAATCCAAATGAATGGGATCACTACTTGAGAATACAAAATTCAATGCCTCTACCTCCATGGGAATTAAAGAGGATTACAATGGTCTAATAGTGCCAAATAGTGCAATTGACCATTGCAATATTACTTTCTTTGTGACCATGTAGTAGCCATGCAGTGACCATGAAATATTTCAATTTTGTGTGTGAAGATAAACATGTTTCCTATTGAGAAAACTACAACCCACTGTTTAGGTAAGCCTGCTCTTCCTTTCAATAAAAAAATAAAACCTATTTTGGCCTAGAGCCCTTTCCTAAGAATACTTTTGATAAGTAGGGCCAAAATTAAAATTTGTGATAAATTTCAAATAGGTGTAAGTGTTAATATTTGAAACAAAACTGGTCTGTTTCCATCCAACAATATCATACAAGTACAAGGTGATTCAAATTCAGGGGAGGTTGATTTCCTTCTTACCCATTGAAAATGGTTCAACATCGAGCGACTATCGAAACCCTATCAGTTAATTATCACTTTTAGAGTTACTACAATATGTAGGCCAATTGTGTCTCATGACAGCCCTACCTCGCCCATGTGTTGTAGTTGAGTCAGCAGTTCACTGAAGTGCTGTGAGTCAGCCAGAGGGTTGACTTGTGCTCGGACAGCGTCTACGAAGCTATCCCACGACACAACCGGGAAACTCTGCGCGGACTTGCGCAAGGTCGGTAGCCAGCTGCGCACAGCCTCACAGAACCCTGTCATTTGTGGAACACCCTGCACACAGTCAGCTGGTCAATAGAGTACAAGACATAAAAAAATGTAATAAAAAACTTTTCTTTTGTTTGTATTGTACTTTTCAAAGAGGTTGGCAACTACTTTTATACTTGATATTGTCTCCACGTGGGCTTTAGGTCTATCCATATAACATATCGTCACAGCAAGGTGTGAGCCAAAACAGTAAAAGAATGAACAGTACTAATAAATATTAGCGGTGGCACCAGAACAACATCGCTACTTCATTTTCAATAACCAAAAAAGAATTATTTCTTTAATTTCAACGTAAAAAGGTATTTAACATCGCTAAGGTTTATAATGGTTCCTTAACTGATGTAAATGGTGTCTCCTAATGCTCTGATTTATTGTTTACATCCTTCTGAATGACTAATATTGTGGACTGTATATTAAAATGTTGGAAGAAAGTACCTGATTGAGTTTATACTACAAAACTAGCTAAACCAATATGTATTTTTCAAGTCAACCCTGTAAACATTCATATTTATTTACAAATCAAACGTGTATATTATTTTACAATGGGGATTTAATGGTTCTTGATATTTGCAATCTATTTTTTATACATATAAATCTGATTAGGTTCTTTTGATTTTCATTTCAAAGTAAATTATGTAATTTAGTTTCTGTTACGTTTTTTATAACCTGTAAAAAATTTGATGATAAATCTAAGCAAAACATGTTCTCTGTTCTTGATTTTGTCATTATGTCTTTTATGGTATTTTACAATGGTTTTCAAGATCCAAAAAATTATGATTATGAACATACAGTTTAGTAGGCTGATTTCTAGAACGTTCCCCTTGTTCTTTTTATTTACGGTTACATTATGTCGAGTAGACTATGTTTTAACTTGTACCTTTTAACTTTAGATAGGTCCAACTTTTTACTAGGTAAATTCAATTTGGAGTTTAACCACAATAAATAATTCATCCTTACTTTTAAGTACAAAGTTATATTTAATTTCTCACCAAATATTGCAACAAAAATAGTAAAATATACCATAGCCTATAATTAAATAAGTTGGTATAAAAAAAAACAATAATTCGTTAGTTTTCTACTTGTGTTTACTATTTACACTCGGAATTTCACTGTAAACTATAATTTCAAACTGTAAATAATACAAATAATCAGCTAAAAACTACAGGAGTGGACAAGTGCAGTACAACATCAATTCAAGTGAACTTCAAAGTCTTCAAATGAAATCGGATTATTTAACAAACACAAAGTAATTGAAATAATATAAAGAACTACTAAAGATAGGAGGACATTACAATATACAGTATTTCACCAGCAAGTTATACAACTCTTTTTCATTGACAAAACACATTTTTCAAGTACAGTTGAAGGGGCTTTCATTCAAGAATCACATTGCACATTCTAACTCTACAACAAACATTTTGTGACAACAGTGATTGGCTAGAGCCATACAGTGAGTCCACGAAGTGCTGCCAACTGTGAATCTTTAACATCAAATATCCCTGCACTCTCCCTACAGCCAGTACCACGTTGTGTTACTATTATTTTTATTTTGAAACATTAATATTTCTTTCATTACAAAAGTTTGAATTTCCTAAAGGGTAGGCAGTGAGAATTTCAGCTTTGTTTAAAGGGAGAAAAGTACTGAAATGAACAAGATTTTAAGTAAAATAGGCTGAAATGTTGACTAAAACCCAATAGAAAAGGATTGTATTTGAGACTGAAGTATTTACTTGAGAAACATTAACTATTTGGAAAAACTAAAATGATTTTAAATTATTTCCTTATGGAAATATTTGCACACTTAAAAAATATCCTCTCGAATGGATATTATATTTTCCTAAATATACAAACCGTTTTATACTTCTCACCAACAGACCCTTGTATAAATTAGAAGATTTTTTCCAACTTCCTGAAATTAGATTTTTTTGATAGTAACAATATTCTCTGTAGGTAGTCAACAACTACAATATTAGTTCAATATTAGTTTAATATTGTGTTTTTATAACTGACTCCATTCTGTACAAAATGTGCAATCTATAATATTAAAACGAAAGTGGGTTTTTTTATTTCACGATTCTGAATCAACCACTCGACGGATTTTCATGATTTTTGTGTTGAAAGAAAGATAATTTTGAAAACTAGGGAATGTCGAAGCCATAATTTTAGTTTAGGGTCCCAGTTTTTTAGAAATTAAGTTTTAATTTTTAAAAAGTCTAGCAGCCGACGCTAAGATTCTAAACTAGCTTTTGGCATAAAATAATTTGCTTAACATAACAGCTGTAAACATTCAGCTTTTGTGTCACAAATTCAGCATTTAAGTAAAAATGTAAAGACATACTTAGGGTTGACTTATTTATACTATGTGTAATGCTAATCATTGATACGTTCAATTCTTCTGTAAGAGGATGACACAGATCAATTAAATATACACAGTAAAATACTAGAATGTTCAAATTATTTTTTAAAGCAATCTTTGTTATCTTCGATTTGTTTTAGAGCAATATAATTTGTTTTAACTAACAGCTGGTTAAATATCAACTATGGAATTATGAGGTTATTTTATTTACTCTTATTTTGTCATTGATTATAGTAAATAAGTAAGATTAGAAGAGATAATTAGACCACAGTTTTAACAAAACTTAATTAAACCACAGTACAAATCGAGGCTCTGTACACGAGTCTTAATAAAAAAGGATAAATGCAAATTATTTTACTGCTACACTTTTCAAGCACTTTTGCTACGCTTTTTGTTTACAATTAATGTTTGTCTGGTTTAACTTTGTTTGGATTAGGCACGGAAATATTGATGTCATAAAAAGAAGACCAAGAATAATCAGAAATCACGATTTTGAATTACCACCACAACCTCAGCCGGGTTTTATACAAAGATAAATAGATGGATGACATAGATTGAACACAACGTCAACATTGACCTAGGATACTGCAATTAGACAAACCATCCTTTTATGAAATTGTGTTCAGTTGTGGTTACGTTTGGGGCGCCTATATCAGCGCCCCCAAACGTGAAAATATCACATTTATTTCAACGATGAATATATTGTAGTTTAAATTAACTAATATGGGAAATTACGATGTACATTTATTCAATGAGGGTGGGTAATTATCAAGGATAGAACTGATGACGGTATGGATAATAATCATTGACAATTTCGTCATTAGCTTTACTAGCGTGTTTACTTTTTATATTCCTGCTACATGTGACCAGTTCTTTTTTCAATTGATGTTATTTGAACCAAACAGTTGTTTCAAAACAAACTGTTATTGTTTTTACTTTTCTTTGTTTACGTTTATTTATTTAGCAATTAATGCAGTGATAGGTGTGACGATTAGTTTTGATGTTAGGACACCAAAGTTAAATTATGTGTACTGTGAATTTTATTAGATATTATCGTTTTATTTTAGGTAGTTTCTATTCAGACCTACTGGAAATTGTGTATAGTAGTTGTATTGTGGTGATAATAATTATGGAAGAGGCAGGTATGCTATGGAAGGTGGTATCGTTGACTAGGTCTATACACTTCTCATTTGACTATTACTCTCTCTACTGTAGGCTCCGGATATTCAGTGGATATTTATATAACAGTGTGCGTCTGTGCGAAACGGCTGCAAATCTCACTTCAACGGTTTTAACATCGTAAAAATTGCAGAATTGCTGTTTTATTGTAAAATTATCGGATTTAAAATGCATATCGTATAGGATGGAATAAAAACATATTTGGTCACACAACATTTGTTTACAAGATGATTTTTCTCATTAAAACTGCAAGAAACTTTGTCTTTGTGTAAACTAGCTGATCTGAATTGTACACGGTTTTAACTGAATACTGAATTCCCGTACGTAGGACGGGCTAACACCTCGTATGAATAAAGTTATTTTGATTGATTGATTGATTGATACACATTTGTTGGATGACAAAACTAAAACTACCTTATGCATCTATCCCTTTAACACTTGGCATTTCACATAAAGTAACTCACACAACACTAAATGTTGAACAGAGTACAACATTTCCAGTGAAATTCAGGAAAATAGACTGCTGGACAAGTTTTAACTACAATGATTTAAATGTAACAAAATTAGGCTACTGATACATAGGCTAGCACACATAGTAATGCTTCAGCACTGGTAAATGGGAGGTGGGGAGTAGTGTATTTCAATTCTGAAATATATTATGGAGTGGGAACTGGACTTTTTAATGGCTGGTTTGTAATATCTGGTAGTGGGGATGTATGCATGTGTATATGGCACAATTTGTTAATCATGTTTTTGGGAGAGTTTTCTATGATATTGCTTAGCTCGGAATGTTTGTCAAAATTTGAACTGGGAAATGACACTTTTAAAACTTGGTTTGGTATATTGTTTCTTCTGATTACAAGATTGTTTACTGTATATTAACAGTGAGTGACTTTTGGAACCTATTGTCATCGAACATGGCTACCTTGTAACCGCTTTCCTCACTCGGACAAATTAGTAACCTGAAGATGTACAATACAGCTGTAAGCAACAGCTGTAGCAAAACATGTTGTGGGAAATTATCATGTTAATGAACAGTTGATTAAGATAAGTAACCGACATCACTAATGTTTAATTAATACATTTCAGGGGCAATAATAGGTTCTTGCGATTAATTAATTAATAATAATTTACTCGTTCTCCTATGAAATCCAAGGAGAGCAATTAAGTCAGCAAACTATTCACACAACTAGGCAAGTTTTACAGTGGTCTGGCTGCAGGGAAGCTGTACCTGACGCTTTAGTCTGAGAGGGGACTCGGTCAGGAGGTTATATCCGTTGACTGAACGTCTCACTTCGGTCATACTATTGGTCCGTTCCCTCACCTGACACCACAACCAACATTTACTTAACTAAAGTAACTATTGACCAAGTAGCTACCTGGTTCTACTTTCTGACAAAGTTTGCCTGTTTCATAAAATAAATTAAGTGTTAAAAAGTGGAGTTAAGAAAAAGGGTTCATGATGTTCCTTCACATTTGAGATTAGTATGTAAAGTAGAGGTTGAAAACAAGTAATTTTAACTGATTTTTTTTTTGGAGGAGAGAACACGTGACTTAGGAAGTCTAAGAAAGAAGTAATGGATAAACAACTAATTTACCCAAGGAAAGAGTTCTAGGCAGTTGATAGCGCACAAAGAGTTCACAACACAATTAATTTTATGATCTACTTCCTTCTAAAGATGTACCCTTAAAGAGGTGATGTATAAAGTTGTGTTGTGAGTTTATGTGTTCTTTTATTTGCCTGGAACTCTTTTCTTAGGTTAGTTAGTATCCATCGATTTCTTCCTTGATTTTTAACTAAATCTGTAACTTATCTGCCTTATTGGTACAAACTCAACATTCTTCAGCACAGAGGGTGACACACTTATACGAGGTTTAAACTTTAAATGGTTTCATATCTGGGATAAACAAAGATTTTGGAATAGGCATAACATTGGTGATAGTTTAACAAACTAAAACAAATAACTCAGACCTATATAATGCAATCAACAAATGACCTCAGCTTAAAGGCAATCAAAAGTTTCTGTCCCTCGTTAACTTTGCCTTCCATCCCATGCAAACATTTGACTATAGAAAAAGAATAGCTTAACCTGTATTGCATAGAACATTGTAAAGCTTTAAATACCTGTGCAATGCTAGTTCGCTCGGTTTGCACCAGGGATTTAAGTAGTCGTATACCAGGACTGAGTGCTTGGTGGGAGTCCACAACTACGACGCGGCGGTTGATATGGAAAGTCGTCGCGTAGTGTTGCCGCAGCGTCACACAAACACTGTTTGCCTGTTCGCTCACATAATGGCCACTCTGGTCGCGCAGTGTTTGTGACGTGTCTGCATGTGTAGCCACTAAAATCACCCTGGGCATGTTGCCGCTGATTCCGTTGGTTCCTAAACAAAAAATACAGTTATGAGAGTGGGATGTGGAAAGATTACAAAACTACGGTGCATAGATATTTGTTTTTGAATTTTTATTTTAAAATAACAACTAGACTATAAAAAAAATGGGATGTTTTTTACTGAAGTTACCTAGAGGTTCTGTAGGAGGGATGCGGGCCTGCAGGAACGTTAGCCAGAAGTGACACTGCCGCAGCTGAGTGTTGGGAGGGTCCTTGAGGCTGAACACTACGAGGAACACTGCGTTCTTGGCGGATGTGGTGAGCAGGTGGTGGTACACACAGAAGTACATGTCCTGTCCGGAGAAGTCCCAGAGAGTAACGTCCCCTGCGCCTGATAAACTCACCTGTAAGTTAAAATCAAACATACTCCTTGTAGATTTATCCTCATTATGGATTAACAGAAAACAAATTAACATCCACTTTATTTAGACAGTTTGTTGTTGTTTAAAGTGCTTGTACTATGGCATTATAACCAAAGAGTAAAAACACAAATAAAAAAAAATCTACTCTAATACATTACATACTCCATGAAACTAATATGGATACATTTAGGTTAGGTTGGAATGTAACTGTTAATGTAATATAACCTAACCTATTTACAGTGCTTTCACTAATAACTGAGTAACAAAAAGCACATTAAAAATCCAATGTAGGCTGAAAGCAGTTGTTTTGGGATATTTTATTTGTGTATCTATTAGACTCTGGACTAACATTATTTATAAAAACATCAGTACGGTATGTGTACCTGTTGAACATCTACGCCCCTCGTGTACTGGAAGTTGTACAGGTCAAAGTTGAGAGAGTTGCGTCTTGATGTTAGATCCATCTCAATATGCATCTTGTTTGGTGAAGCAGGCATGGCTGACAAAAGAACAAGTTGGTTAGTGCAAAAAATACTTTCTGATTTGTTTACCTAATGAGAAGGGTGTTCACAAAGCCATGTTATAGCAATAAGTTACTGGACAATTTGTGACTTGGAGTCGGTAGAGCTGTTCTCTTAAAAATATTAGAAGAAATATGAATCAACTTGTCTTCATCTGTAGTGTCATCAGCTTATGTGAGGGCTTTGCAACTCGACCAGAATAGTTAGAAGATGTCACATTCGAGTTTAGAAATTATTTTTCCTTACAGTTACCTGACAAAGCGGGCTTTCTTGTACTGATTGTAGCACGCAAAGTAGCTAATTGCTGCATTTACTTACTTTTGCCGCACTCATTTTATTTTTGCCGCACTCCAGTATTCCAACCAAACAACTCAAAAAAGTGTGCTTTTATTAGGTGTGTATGCTTGAAAATAAGTCGGCAACACTTAAAGATACTACAACTAACTACGATCAGCTGGTGCAGTGTTTCATATTTTGTTCAACGCTTGGATTTAACCCAACCTAAAACGTGTTATTTATGTGTTTGAAAGACTAATTATTTCTATGCTTTATAGTAGCAATAGGAAAATAACACGAGCGCAAGGTGCCTTTGCTGCACTCAAGAAACTTTCCACACAAGGGTAACTTCGCAGACTAGTAACACAGATAGCTGTATTTAACAGTTGATTCAAGATAAAAATTCTCACTAATGTTTTATTTTAGCAATACATTTTAATCTGCTCCTAAACAGGTACAACCAACAAACCTAAAAGAAGTTAAACATTTAATTCACACACATTTTTCTAACCACCGCTATTTGAAAGTACACATTAATTTAGAACATAACATAACTGTGCACAGGTACTTTTTTGAAGTCAATGCAAAAGATTTATCAGTCTACAGTAAATGAAATATAAAAAACACACTAATATATGGTACTGTGAATAATATTAAAGTCGAGAGCAAAAGGGTAACTATTGTACCAGTTGGAAATATTCTAAAAAAAAAATTACATTTAATCTCATTAGGTGACAAAAATGAATATAACAAATAACAAAAATAACGTTTTCACTTACAGTTTGTATTGTTGCTGACAAGAGGTCTGCTTCTGCGGAAGAAACTGCTGAAGTAACCAGTCTTGAGTGTCTCTACAAGGGTGGACTTGCCAACCCCTGAGTGTCCGAAAAGCTGGATGTTGACCCGAGGAGGTAGTCCGACCTTGGGCAACAGCTGACGGATAAACCCTTCCTGGGTCTCTCCCTGCATCAAAAGTTGAATATACAGAGATATGCCAGGGGAAAATATTTCACACAAAAGACATAGATACTCTTACATTCACATAAGGTACACTCAGTTGGCTGATGAAGTAAATGAGGTAGGCTTTGATAGAAAAAATAAAGATAAAAAAAAGTTTCAAAGTATTGGTTCTAGTAGAATGCATTTGATGGAAGAGAACAAAATACTGTTATGAGAGAGTACTTCATGAGAAAATCGCTAAAAATCTACTTACATTTTTCACCCTGTTAAGCAGATTGCTGATGTCATTATGGCCAAATTTCAGAGCTGTAATTTCAGCCTTGGCTCCGTCTTGGTTTTTCACATCTGTGTTGCAGCCTGCCAAGCAGAGACTCCTGAAAAAGGTATGAAAATCCTTTAATGGGAAGCGAGCTGGTCTAATGGTAGAGCGCGGGGCTTTGGAGCCTGAGGTGCCGGGTTCAAATTCTGCCAATCATTAATGGATTTTTTCTATGTGATAATGCCGCAATTCTTTAGGACTAGCCTTAACTAAATGTTTAAAATAGTTCTGGGCTAGAACCTAGCATCCTAGGATGTGAAAGTGGGACATACGGAAAAAAGAAAAAAAATCCTTGAATGTTAACTCAGTTCTGTTCATTGTTTTAGCGCCCTATTTCTTCTTCTCACTACACCAAGAAAACTGCTCTGTCTCAAATGACTGGGTAGCAGTGTAGTTAAAGTACTTGACTTAAAATGTGAAGTTCACTGGTTAGATTTGAATATTCAGGACTCAGTTGCCATCTGCCATTGGGCAATTAACAAGTTAAGTGTGCGTGGCTGGAATTCTCGCCCCACGGTACCGGCACCAGTGGGAAGAGACGGGAAAAGTCATTTTCCTACCATGCCAACAATCATGCCTCAGTGTGAGCTACGAGACCTTCCCGATCGGAACACCCCCCACCACCGTGCCATTTATAAAATTATAAATGCCTCAAATTCTAACAAAAGATGTACAAGAAGTAATCGCATTCTAAGCTAAATCTTTGACAAAAAGTTAGTGCCACTGGTGGTATTTGATCCAGCTACAATCAGTTCTTCAGCCCAGAACGCGGGGGGGGGGGGGGGTGTTTGAATCGGGAAGGTTTCGTGTGTGAGCTCAATCTTGCAAATGCGATCTTTTTCGATGGTGTATCTGGGTTTTTAGCCCCTGCTGTATCTCTCCATTTGACCATGGTGAGGGCCTGCTAGCAGTTTAGTTTAGTGCTGCTATCTGTTGGGTCCTTTTAAAACTTCGTCCACAACAACTGGAAAGCAGTACATGCTCTAATTTGGATGAAAATAAATTTAAACGTTTTCATGGCCTCAACCACGCAGCGAATTATTAGCTGTTCCCACCACTGGCCGTGGCCAACCATTGCGCAACTGCACTGTCGTGTTAAAAAGGTTGAAGTTAAATTTAGAAGGTCAGGGTTTGGACTGTCCTCTAACAAATTAACTTAAAAAAATGCCAATAGTGTAGATATTTATAAAAGAAAACATGCACCTACAATTGCAAGAACTGTTTTTAATTGTTACATTGCAATGGAAAGGCATTTTTCCTTACAATTCCTCTTATTTTTGTACTAGTTGTTCCTGCAAAAGGCAGTATCGTTTTACCAATTGACTTTTCATTACCACTAGAGTGATTCCAGTAGTCCATCTTGGAGTAGAATGATTGAGTTGACCTAATTGTAAAACACATTGTGACATCGCTGCCTAGACTATAGTTAAAGACAACGCCTCCTGATGTGAAGCTGGAGAGGGGATAAGATAACCTGGAAGAGCCAGTCAAAAACTTGGGGTTAATAGTGTGAAGCTGAGGAGGATACATTAGATTACGCATTGGATAAACCATCAAATATGATGTAAAATGTCTCAGTTCAATATCAGGAATCAGGACACCTAGGACACTGGGAACCAGGGAGTGACGGGTGCATCTATAAACATGCATTTTTGGCCAATCTGGAAGAAGGTGTATAGTAAAATTTAAATCTCCTCATGCCTAATTTTTAGATTTAGATTTTAAAAATATATTCAAGGACAGGGGGAGGGGGCAATGGCCGCCCATGGTTATTAGCAAGACCTGCTCGGTGGCACGTTTTGAAATTTCAATTGATCCACAGGGTCTGGTTAGAACGTTTCCAACATGAACAAATTTAAAATTCAATTTCCTATACTGATATCTCTGTGTAAAATGAATTGTTACTGTACCTGATTATCTCCGTATGTCCATATCGCGCGGCCAGGTGGAGGGGGTAGAGGCCTTGCTTGTTAGGAATGTCCGTGTCACAACCAAGACGACACAAACTCTGTACAACACCCAGTAAGCCTTCTCTGACTGCACCGTGGAGTGCTGTCTCTCCATTCTGTGAAATATTTTTGGCAATGACAAACAAAGAGATATACAGTATGCCTATGCCATTACACACATTTTAAAACACTTTTGAAGAAGAAATAAAAAGCTCCTTGCCATATAAAACTGATCCCCCTGTAAAGGGGGTTTTTAATGCAACCCAAATAATTACAACTATTAAAATGTAGAAAATGTCTACAATCAATCTACAAAATCCTGGCCTAGAGCCTTTGGTTGAACAAAACTACATATTGAAAGACACTTTTTAATGACAAAACCAACTTAAATTTATGTATATACCTGTTTTCCTTACTTCATTGTCAATCCGCTAATATGCATTGTTGCATATACATTATATCTATGAGGTTTAGAGTTATTGAGAAATTATTGTAAATGAGACTCGACATGGTGTTTTTGCAAGCTAAAATAGAGTACCGTATGTATTGATGGTCTAAGTTTTCATAGTTTTCTAAAGATGACTGATTTTTTACTTACTGAAATCACCCATGGAAACATAAATTCAAACCTATCTCGGCATAAAACCAATGATTTTATCTTATCGTACAATTTACATACTTTTTGAGCTTTTTACCCATCATGAGTATATAAACACTCTGTATAAGTTGATGTGGGGCTTGAGTTAGTTCTAACCACTACAAGAGTATCAGAGTATCATTAGGCTTACAATCAATAAGTAATTTATAAGTAATTTATGATTGGGTGGTATTTTAACCAGAAACATAGAGACGGAATTGCTTTACTATTACCACACTATGCACTGTGTTTAAAATTATTGATCCAATCAGTTTGATTAAATAAAATCAAGTTTTCAGCCTCTGGTTATCATGGTGGGTCGAGCGTTAATAGTTCAAAACCTTATGACTTAAAATTATAGCTGTAGTGATAAAGCATTCACTTGTTACTAATTTGAAACTTGGCTTGGCAATATATTTTGTTAAGTGATTTTTCTGATTTGAATCAACAAAACCTCCACAACTATCAAAGTCTCTACACCACATAACATATGTATTTTGTCAAAGGACAAGAACACAAATTAAAGATTTTTATCCAACTGAAACTTAATTTCTTATTCAACAGGTGCCTCACCATGTCTTGCAGTTCTACATCGGCCCCGGCCTGATGTATGAGGTACGTGGCTACGTCTGAGTGTCTGTGAGTGAGAGAGAGATGTAGAGGAGTCGCCCCCTGGTGGTTAACCACATCTACAAGAGCACTGCTCTCTACCAACAACTTGACACATTCTAGGTGACCCCATGTCGCTGCAATGTGTAGAGGCGTGTCACCTTCCTGACCAACAAAACCAAAGAAAATGCATTTATCTTTTTGTGAAGAAAGTTAAATAAAGCCAAAAGTTTTTTCAATAGCAAAAGTCCATTTTGCTAAAATCTTTCGTGAAAACGTGGCAAAAAGGGATCCAAACACATGTTGACTATCTTCTCAAGGGAAACAAAATCCCTGCTGCAAGCAATTAAAAACTAGCATTATTGGGGATTATTTTTGTAAACTTAGGCTTAAAATATATGTTGTAAAATCTAGTGTTAAATAGCAAAACAAATAATTAACCAGTTGAGACTAACCTTAAAATTGTCTTTAGCTGATTAACAAGGATCATAAAATCTATAAGAAAGTATATTACGTATAGTACGTACAATATATGATAAAAGTCAATTTATGGAGCGTGGAACGACCATTACATCTACATTTTATTGTGAAACCTTAAAACGGCTACAATGAGCATCTTGGTCATCTGACATCTGGCTTTGTGTTTGTACATAAGGCTTTGTGCTTGCCCTTACAAAGGACAAAGAACAACTGAAAATGGGACGTTTTTGACCCCTCCCCCCCCCCTACAGCCCGGACTTAGGTCCCAGTGACTTTCACCTTTTCCTGAACATGAAGCGGTGGTTTCCATCTCAGAAGTTTGCGAGTGACGCAAACAGTGTTTCAAAGCGCTGTGAAAGGTTTGCATCTTTCTCAGGCAGCAGATTTTTTTAGAGACGGAATTTTAAAAACTGTTAAAAGATATAATAGGTGCTTAAATTTCTTTGGTGAATTATGTAGAATAGCAGAGAAAAACTGTAGTTTTAAAATCTATGTAATGCAATTTTTGTATCTCTACTGGATTAAAACATTTTATTTCAAAACGGAGATTATTTTATGGACGACCCTTGTGGATATTCTAATAGATTTTGTGACACCTTGTATATTTGTTTAAAGGGGTAAACAACATTACAATTTTCAATAACAAAAAAATATCAAGGAAAAACCAACCAATGTTTACTGTCCTCACCTTGTTGCAGCTGGTGAGGCTAGAGCCGGCTCTGATCAGGAGTGCCAACTGTTGCTCGTTGCCGTGCCTTGCTGCGTGGAAAACTGCTGTCTCACCCATACTGTCTGCGGCTGCTAGGTTGGCACCACTGGAGAGCAACAGTCGCGTGATCTCTGTGTTATCAGCTCTCACCGCCACGTGTAACACTGACTCTCCATTCTGCGTAAGAAAATTTAAATGTGAAAAACATAGTTTTTATTAGTAAAAATTACCAAAAAAGTATTTAAAGAAATGTAAAGATTGCAGAGAGGTTGTGAATTATTTCCAGCTATATCGGTAACAATTTTGGTCTAAACGATTGGAGTGGAGTGACTAAAAAAATATGTATTTCTTGTGCCAGAGACTCTTTCCCTGCTATCCTCACAAATATACTTGAAACTTATGGCTTTAACTATATGTTACGTCATCAACCTCAAATTATAACAGTTTATTTGGCTCAGTTGATTGGATTTATTTCTCCAGATCAGAAACATAATTTTCATAGCTCAAAAGACAGTTTGCGTCTATACTCTGTTCACAACATTTAGGCGGTTTTAGGGGAATTCCTCACACCATTTTTTGCCTACCTTAAGGAAGTGAATGTAAAACTTAACGCACCTTGTCAATCTGATTAAGGTCAAGGTGTAAAACTTGTTCAACTGCTGTGACATCTCCTGATTGGACGGCGTCAAAAACGGAAAGTGGACTGGCTATGACGTCCGGCACCTGGAGGATTTGGAGATTTAAAAAAATCAAATTACAAATGTTACGAGTTTTATGTATTTTTGTAGGCAACTATTGACTTTTTGATACTGAAGTAGACATCCCACCTGTATAGACCCGATGTAGCCAGGTTTTTAATTTTAAAATAGTTCAGTCAAATGAGCTACAAGGTGTTCTACAATCAGAATTTCTATCCCCCCCCCCCAATTTGCTTACTATGATAGATGTTGTGACCTAAAAGTTTCTATAGTTTATAGCAAGTTGTCCTTTCAGTTTAATAAAGATACATGTTGACACTAATCAGTAATTTACTTCAGCGCACGATGTCAGTGGCTAAATTCAACTATGTCACTTTTTTGTTCTATAACTGGCTTCAACTTTAACATCAGTATGAAATGTTTAGTTCTATCTTTGACTATAAATACAACCAACGTTCTATCCATTGTCAAACAGTCAACTCTAGTAACTAAACCCTCAATGACTTTCAATGAAAGTCAAGTTTACTTTTTGAATTATCTTCACAAGCGTTAGTATGTGAACTAGTGAACTTGCTTAGTATATCCAATAAATATTATAATTGATTGATATTATGTTTTCAACAGCCCTAAAGTCAAAGAAGACTACAGGGTATTGGTTATGGAATAATGGAATGATGTAAGAGCATTTCAAACAGATTTTTGAATCCTTATGACATATTTATTTCCATTAAACGCAAACAAGACAAAAATATTAAACAATAGCGGGCAACTAATAACATTTTATGTTAATGAAAACAGAATCACCATCATAATCCCTTACTTAACTACAGCTCAGTTACAGATTTGAGATTTCACAGTATTAACCACGCATAACCAATGTAAAATGCAAGTCAGTAGCACAGTAATTAGTACTATCTGAGTGAGTTTATGGTTTTATCTGGAACCTAACTGAATAGCATCCGCTTTTACCCTGTCATGAGGTTACAGGAAGGAATGTGCAGTGAAGATTGTATTGAAGGTTATTTTTCATTTTTTCAGTTTTTCATTTTACTTCCATGACTCGCTTAAGAGGCCAAGGTTTTGACTTTCAATGAGATTAACAAGCTATTACAATTCATGACATGAATGAAGGAACTATTTATTTATTTTAATCAAAAGATATTTTAAGCTATCTTAGAAATGTTGGCTGTAATAATTACAGATTAGAGTTCAACTCAAAACCAGCAGAAAATAAAACCACAGTCTTTAATCTTATTTCTTGTCAACCTTTGTCATGAAGAGGTGTTGATGTTGTTAAGAAAACTGTAATTGTTTATGTAGCTTGCGATGTTGGCCAAATTTATTTATTAGGAATCACATTTTCAATTTTTCAAATGGAAAATCAAAATTGTCCCAGGTGTAGGACTTACTATGCCACCTATGGTAATAGTTTCTTCCCTATTGAGGGAATGCAATAATGAGACAACAAACTATAATAAATTGTTGTACTGTTGTCAATGAATTGACAGCGTAATTTTCTTTTTGAATACAGTACCAAGAAAAAAACTAATTCTTAGAATGAATAACAAAAAGTTAACCTGATTGACATGATACTATTAGTAAAACATTAGCCTGTCGGAAAACAATTTAGCAATGTTTTGGTAAACGCACTAGAAGTGAAATTTTAAAAAGTAAAATAATCATTTTTCATTATCTGACTTGTAAAAAAATTAATCCAACCCCAAAGCCACCGCTTGAAGATAATAATGAATTATCAAAACCAAAAGAGGATAAACCTCACACATAACCACATGGAATTGGCAAGAGTTCAATCAGTCCCAACCACAATACTGTTCTAAAAAATCAAAATTACAATAATCTTATTAACTAACATATTTTGTACATTTAGTTAATGACAGAAAGTATAAATACCATTGTTTGACTGAAATTAGTGGTTCAAAGGTAAAATTCTCATGAGTCATGAACCGGTCAAAGAGAAGACATGCACGAGACTGAGACTGAAGATGAGGCGTTTGACTGGACACTGATAAGTTATCTAAGAGGCAAAGGTCACTCACTCAAGGAAGCATGCTAATTCTGGTGAAAGTTTGCTCCTTGTCATGCTAAGTAGTCATTGACTGGTTAACTTGACCAAGCATGACAAGACATTAGAATATAATTTATTGGAGCTTATTTTAAAAATAATAAATAGTATCAGCAATCTGACACATACTTTCTCCCATAAGCTTGCCAACAACCTTTAATATGAGTAAGCGGTGGGAGTAGCTATGATATTTTATAGGGAAAAATCACATGCAATAACTTTTGAACCGTAATTGTTACAGCAATCCGGGGGGTCGCACTATTTTATTTAGAATTATAAGGACCATAACAAATTAATTTTAATCAAAGCCGACTTTTTTCCTAAGCCCAATTTTTTGTTATTTTATGGTTTTTTATAGGAAAATAACATAACTTAAGTTACAATACATTTTGAACTGTAATTTTTACAGAAAATAAAATTAGCACCATTTTGTTCAAATTTAAAGGACCACAACATACAAATTTTAATCGAGACCAGTTTTTTTTTCCTAAAATCCAATTTGTCTTTATTTTATAGGGTTTTTATGGGAAAATAACATAAGTTACAATAATGTTTTAACTGTAATTTTTACAGAAATGGGATTTGTACTAGTTTGTTTAAAATTTAAAGGACCATATAACATACAAAATTTTCGAAACAGTTACAATCGAGACAGTTTTTTTTTCTAAAATACAATTTTTTGTTATTTTATGGGGTTTTATGGGAAAATAACATAAGTTACATTTACTTTTGAACTGTAATTTTTACGGAAATGGAATTTGTACCATTTCGTTCAGAATTTAAAGGGACTAAAGATACTAAATTTTTATCAAAATCGTTCGGGCCGTTTTTGAGAAAATTGGATTTTTCTGTTATTTAATGGATTTTTATGGGAAAATCAACATTAAAAATCAAAATTTTGAAAAAATTTACCAAATTTCATACATACTAAATTTCATCAAAATCGGACTAAAGGTGTAGTCTGTAGCTCTGTACACATCTACACACACACACACACACACACAGACATCACTTTGAAAACAATTTTTTTGAGTTCAGGGGGACCCAAATTGGATATATCCCCTCAAAACTGTAATTCAAAAATTTTGACGAAAACAATAGGTACATTCTCCATATACTATGTATCACGATTACTAGAAAAATACCGGTATGGATCATAAACATAAACAAATTACGTTGTTGGCCCGAATCCTATACTAATAGCATTGAACATATGTTTTGGCAGTTCCATTTAAGCAATGTTAAATTATGTTTATTTTCGGGCCAAAAACGTCATTTGTTTATGTTTATGATCGATACCGGTATTTTTCTAGTAATCGTGCTATGTATAGGGGGAGAAAGTAAAAATGCCACTGCTACAACTTGTGTGTATTCGTATTGGTTACAGAAATCTACATTATTAATAGAAATAAAATAAAAAAATAAAGTACCTAAATAAAATAAAATAAGAAATCTTACTAATATTATAAATGTGAAAGTTTGTGTGTTTGATTGTTTATTTGTTTGTTTGTTTGAAGTTCAATCACGCTTTAACTACTGGTCGGATTGGGCTGAAATTTGGTATGATGATAGCTCACATTCCTGATTAACATATAGACATATTCTTATCTCAAAAATCCTTTCGGGCTCTGCCCCAGTGGCTCTGGAGTTTCCTATGTTAACCTTATGAATATTCATATTTAAAATGGATTAAAGGATTTTGTCAGCTGTTTCAATTACACAATTTGTTCTATGATATTCAATATTATTAAAAGTTATAAGGTTCACCGACAGGGTGCAGCACTATTATTTGATTTTTCATTCATGACAACATAGCTATTAAATTGAACCAAGAGCCACAACAAAAGGCTGTGATGCACAATGAGAACTGTTAAAGTAGGATTGTTTACAGTTAAGTTTATGATTTTAATTTATAAATAATGTTTTGACAATTTGCAGATATTAGATAATTTACTTTTAACGAATTTCCGTACAGGGAAGTAGATATTTTATTGTTTAGGTGTAGTGGTAGAACATTATTGATATGGTATATGTGTTATACTATAGCTTCCGTAAATTAAAAGAACCAGATTTTCTCAAACCGTGCCCTCTTCCATTGCAACCACAAAGCATGAGTATAACTGCATTACGCATTTTATACTTATACGCAAACCCCGTACGAAGGACGGGTAATTCTGCTAGTAATATAATAAGGCACGAAATGCAAATAATAGGGATATGATGAGAAAGAGAATTAATCGTTTTCACCCTTATCAACTATACAGGGTGTTTTTTTTTTAAACTTGCTTATTTATGTAAAAACTGCAATTGATAGAAATAAGCAGTTTGCTGGAATCGTAAATTGACATATGGGCCACGATTTTTGTGAATTTAATGTGAAGTTCCCATTCACCCCCTTTCTCCCCCTACCCTTAACTTCAAACTTTAAAATTGCATTAAGGTACCCCTTCATATCAAATGTGAGGGCATGAAAAAAATAAAAGAATGGCGCAAACTAGAGATCTCTACATGAATCCTATCAAAAGTTATGGCAGTTCAAAATTTCAATTTTCCCCCCCTTTTTTACATACTAAACATTTTCAAAATCTTTCTTCAAAAACAAAAAAATTCTCGGATGCCAGCTGCTTGTTCAATAAAAAAACTGTAAAAATCTGAGAAATGTTACAAATTTGAGAAGTAGGGCGATTTTTGAAGGTGAAGGAGTGCGATTTTTGGAAAACGCTAAAGAGTTTTTTAGTTAAATTTTCATTTGGTTTTTAATGGTATTTTAGTTAATATTATCAACTATAATATGTTAGTTTAAAGATTGAAGCAAAAGAAAACATAATAAAAGTAGATTACTTCTGTATTTGGTAAAATCATTTGAGGTTTATTGTTTTTGTAACATACCAGTTAAAAAAAATAACAAACGAAAGAGTTATTTAGTTTAACTCTTTGAATGTCCCAAAAAATGTTTATTTTGATAAGAAATAATCTCTACAAATTATAAACAGTAACAACATAATTACTTACATGAAATTTACAACATTATGTACTGTTTATTTATCTATGAAAGTAAGAACACTAAAGAAACGCGTAGGCAACCACAAGGCAGGAAGGATATTGGATGAAGGCCAAAGGAATCAATAAATTGACTGTGTTGTTCTGCTAACTCACACATTCTACCAGACCACCTTAATGTGATATCAGATCAGCATTGGCTGAACCATTAGGGCAAAACCAGCTGCTAAATAATTTGTTGAAAGTCTGATATGTGTTGTAACTCACAACAAATCTCCACTTAAAAAAATAGCTACGGTAGGGTACACTGTATTGACATATAAAAAAAATTTGAACATTAGAAAAAAGAAGGCCAAGCTTCTCCATTGATGATCAATTTTGGCATATTGAATGAATAATGTGTCAATCATATGCATTACCTTTTTCCATTTTTATGCATTTTCCACATTGAATGTTGATACACGGTAAATGTATATTTTTCACCGTTCTAGGACATTTTTCATTTAAAATTTGATACTAATGAACTATCAGCTTTTTAACTTAAATATTTTGCAATTACTTGCGCTTTTAAAACCATACAGCACAGAAAAACTTATCATATTTATAACACCAATATAACATTTCAAAAAAGTCACTTTACTGAACATAGTTAATATGACTTCAAAATTCTTTAAAAACCAAAACTTTCAGTTATTGCATCCTAGATCTGATTCTCACCAACTTCTTTTTGTTGACTCAATGTTTGATAGTTAATTGTAAATTATTTCCTTTTAAACTTTGTTATTACATACATCTAAACTAAATCCTCTGTATATAACAATCATCTTGAACAATCATAAAATAAATTATGAATTATGTAAGTAATGTGACATGACTTTTTTGGCCACAAAAATATCCACCATTTCCGTCATTATTGTATCACTTCAATTGATTATAAATCTATCTTATGTTTATCAATGCCATACGCTAATCATGCACTGACTCACTACATTTCTAGATCATACAAAATCCAAGCCTTTGACAATGCAATTTTGAATACAATTTTGTATAGATTCTTTTTAACCAAATTTTCTAAATTTTATAAACAGTATGTATATTCACAACTACAACCCTTATAGATTTGATACTAAAGGGGTAATTTTAATTTGTTGTATTCAACAGAGAAGAGAAGTGTTTAAAATATCCATACATATAGGCTATACCTACTAATAAAAAATACGAGAGCACGCCCCGTGGTCGAAAAATCGACCAAAAGTATGTTTTGTGCAAACTTCTCTATTTTCACCCCACACTGTTAAATAAAACATGTGATTGGAATGTCTTCCATTTGTTTTGATTTTCTGTTTATATTTTGTTGTTATTTCGTCATCACCATAGCAACCCATAAAACCCATGTTAATTTAAAAAAAATTCAAAACCATTTTTTGTGCTTATTTTTGTGCCTATTTTAGTTTATAAAGGGATTCTGCACACCTACAGGAAAATAGCTTTCTAACGGTATGCGTAGATTTTCCGTGCGATACACACGAGCTGAGAAAAAAGGTTTTAAAGAAACATGCTTGCCTATTAATATATAGATAGATTATTTAAACATTTTCTCTGTAGGCCTATTTTTTATTAGGTAGTTCAAATTATTTACAAAAGTTTTTAGAACTTGTTTCAGATTATGCGTGAAAGTGTGTGTACATTTTTATGGGTCATATAAAAAATACACCATATGAATACCATGTATATACAGGGAGCGGAAAAATGATCTGACGGTTTTCTTTGCCGCCCTGTCAAGCGAGTGAGTGGCAGAGGCTGGTGGGAATTGGGGCGTTACAAAGCCTACGTGCGGACATATTTAGTAGCCATGGAGCTGTGGACAGTTGAGTACCATGCATTTGTATGGAAAGTATTTTTTTAAGTAGCAATTCGTGTAGCTGTTCAGCGGCAGTACCAAAGACGTTTCAATGTTTCAATGTGGGTCCAAGGGGAAAAGTCCCAACTCAAAACACCATTCTGCTGTGGCTAGGTTACTTCAGAGCTACTAGTATAGCGTTGAAAAAAAGTCAACAGGCTGCCCAAGGTCAGCTCGGACACCAGAGAGTGAGATAAGCTGTGGAAGTTAGTCCTCAGCAGCCTAAACTAAACGTAAATAAGCTGCAGCTCTGCACTTGTCTGGCCGCTCAGTAGAAGAGTATTACAATACGATCTGCATTTTCATTCATACAAAATGGCAATCGTGCAACTGCAACAGTTGAAGCCCAGTGGTTATACAAAGCGCATCTCTTTTTCAGAACAAGTAGTGATTGATTTTCTTACACGTGACTAAGTTGCCATTATGAGTGACGAATCACACTTTCAATCACACCACATAGTCTTTCTCATTCTCTTTAGTTTTACACCACGTAGTCAGATTTTAGTTTCAATGCTGAACTAGTAGCTCTAAAGTTACCCACCTACAACAAAATGGTGTTTCAAGTTGGGACTTTTCTTCTTTGACCCACATTGAAACGTGTACTGAACAGCTACACAGGAATTGCCACTTTTAAAAACAATTCTACTACAAAGTCATGGTGCTCAGCTGTCCCACGGCTCCATGGCTACTAAAAATGTCCACACGTTGGCTTTGTAACGCCTCTATTCCCACCACCCTCCGCCACTCACTCGCTTGACAGGGCGGCAAAGAAAACCGTCAGATCATTTTGCCGCTCCCTGTATATATTTTTAGAAAATCTCATCAATTTTTTTTTTGAAATGAAGTAGTATGCCTACTGTTTGTTGTATATAGCCTATTTACAATAACAATTGAATGTTTTTGTGTTAATTTATAAAATACTCATCAGCTTACTGGGTATTGTCGAGTCAGCATACAAAGAAAACAAGAATTGAATTTTATGCTGGGCCACAAAAAAATATTAGAGAGCGATTTAGCAGGATAGCCAAAATATTTAAATTTGCAATATAAGCATGGATAAAAAGAAATAAGTATAGACAAAATGAATTAAACATAGACTGTCAGCCGTGCAGTGGTTACCATGGTTACCATAGATTCTGGCACACACTGCTGGGAGCGCCGTGTAGTTACGTGGCGCATAGGCCGTAACTACATGGTGCTCCCAGTGGTGTGCGCCAGAACCTATGGTAACCGCAGCACAGCTGACGGTCTATATTAATTCTTTTTGTCTATGATATAAGTCAATCTGTTAATTATGAACTTGAGCAGTGGATTGGTAATTTTGTGACCGATGCCCCTACATAAATGGTCTTGTATTTTGAGTGGGGGAAGATGTTAAATAGTTTACATACCTGGGGTTGGATCCAGTGATGCTTCAAACATTGTACAACTGTGTTCCTTTCTCTGCAACAATTAAAGGAATATATTCAGATCAAATATGGCACAATATTTGGTATCCTAATATTATTTATGTTGATAGCCAAGAAAACATGTTATTGTTTTTTTTTGGCTATAACATCAGTTAAATTAGGTCCCCACGTGGCATTAAGAGAAAAAGATTGAGCTATCAAAATATTCTTGCGATTGTTCCCTGTACAGAATATCCCCACCCAAGCTACAAGAAAATAGGTGAACTTTTGAATTTGTAAACCACAGAAAATTGACCTCAAAAAGCAAGAAAAAATAACGCTTTATTTAAAATAACTTAATCATAATAAACTATTGGACATAAAAATATGTCCAGGGCTTGACAATGGATAATAAAAAATTGTTGAGTATAAAGTTTCAAAGCCCTAATATTACTTAGCAAATTGAAATTTATATCTGTCTTTGTATCTAATTTTAGTGCTATATTACTAATATTCAACATATTTTATACCGTAAAATGGGGTGAATAGAAACAACAGGGTGAATAGAAACAAAACTTCAATGAATGATTCACATTTTTATAACTTTGTTATACATTGACTTTATATAAGGGAATTATTTTCCCCCATTATAGCCATATCCTATCTACCTGGGAAAAATTATTTCAGCATATTGGTATCTCTGCTTCGGATGTTGGATGATGCGAAACCTCATTTGAAAATTTTGGCGAAAAACATTCTTTTCAAAACTTTCTCTCTAAGTATGAACCTATTACATGTATTTATGTTAATAACCATTTTTTTATATTGTCTTAGGTATCTTAAAACCAAGTGTGTTAATAGATTAGCCCTAGAATAAACTATATTTTTTTACTTTATTTTTATTTTAGGTTATGTCATGATTTTGCAAAACCAGGGTAAATAGAAACACTTTTTTTAACCAGTGGTGCAAATAAAGGTAGACCTGAAAACCCCCCAAAAAAGAAAAAAAAATTACCAGAGATGAAGATGATTCCACATCAGTCACACTTCTCACTGGAAGAAAGTGACAAAGACGAACAATTTGATGAAGAAGAACCAGCATACCTAGCTCAAGACATCAGTGAGTCTTCAAAGTTGTCCCTTCATGATCATGTAATTGTCAAAGTAATGGGGAAAAACAAAACTTGCTATCGTTTATATGTTGCAAAAGTTTGACAAGGAAGGATAAACAGGAAGATTTATCAAGAAAATTGCGCAAACCAACAAGTTCTGAGAGACAGATTAAGGAGGCCCTCTTCAAAGTCGATGACGTAGTACGTTGGCTTCCAACTCCCAAGCCGTGTACAACTTGTAGATTTAAGGGAGTGTTGTGTTTTGAGGAAGATTTGTCAGATTTTACTCTTCATTTAGTTGGTTTCTATGTAAGATTTTGTAACTCTGATTTCACCCATTGTCATTTATGTTCTCCGATTTGTTTGGATAAGGGGTATGAAAACGATGTTTTTATACTTCGTACTTATATATAAATGTGTTAAATTAACTTTAAATATTTTTATTTACAACAACCTAAGCTAACAAGCATAAATTTCATGTTTCTATTGCCCCTGGTAAGTGGGGAAAAGCAACAATCATCAATTTAACACAGTGTTTCTATTCACCCCAAAGTGCAGGGTGAATAGAAACAGCCATATTTTATTTTTTTTCTGCTTAATGATTAAAAAGAAAAAAAAATTGATTACTGGTTTGAGTAGAGGAGTCCAAGACCGGAAATATGAGCTAGTGTTGAAAATTTAAAAATTAAAAATATCGTTTTTACAGAAGCTTAAAAGTCAAAAAGTGTTTCTATTCACCCCATTCTACGGTACTCAATATAAGAGATGATTTCTATTCAGCAATTCTGTGGTTTTTTAAGTGTAGCCTACTTAGGGCCTAATTAATAATTTATTTATTCCCTGAGGGAGCCACCATATACCGTGAGTTATAATCGTGAAAATACGTAAAACCTTTGAGGGAATTTCTGTGCTTATCTTTTACGACTGAAATCTTTGAAATTATGAGAGAAACACATTATAAAAACTTCATCCTTTATAACAAAAACTCTTGAAATTGGTCAAAAAGGTAATACGGATTCAAGAAAGAAAAATACACATTCAAGAAAGAGAAATACACTACATATTAAATACAGTAGTTTAAGTATTAAATAAGTAGCTTTACCTCGGCGATTTTTTGAGTAATTTTGCAATAAAGTCCTTGGCGAGAGAGCTGATTTCGGAAAAAGCTTTATGTTCAAATGTATAACTTCCAGTGGAAACGTTTGTATATGTTTGTTGCTTGTCTTCCCCAAGGAATGGAGACAGGCCACTCAATCTGTAAAACAATAAATAACAATTAATACTCAAGAATCATCTCTTTTACTACACAAAGATTCAGCCCGCGAGGTAGGGGGGCCCGTGAGCCATGACCGGGATTTTTCGGTAAATTTTACCGGGACACGGGCCCGTGATTGTGCGACAGGCTCAGCCACCACATGGGTCCATTATCGTAACAATATTTATATGAGAATTACTATACGTTTTTATGACGAAATTTTTTTCAAACCAGCAAGAGCACTAGGACAAGTGGCTTACAACAGCTAAACTGACACTATTACTTGACTGATCAATATACATTCTCTACCAACCTAAGTAAAAGAATTGTCAACAGTCATGTAGGTTGCATCAACTGTCCTCGTGGACTGTGTGAAGGCACTATAATGGGGCCGTATTTATAACCAATGTAGCCTCCGGCCTAGGAGGATAAAACATTAATGTTAAAGAAATAATAGTGCTGCACCCTGTTGGTAATCCTTGTAACTTTAATGCTATTGAACATCATAGAACAGAACCAACTTGTTTAATTGAAACAGCTGTTAAGATTCATTAATTCCATTTCTCATAAGGTTAACATGGGAAACTCCAGAGCCACTGAGGCAGAGCCCAGAGGTCGGAGGGTAAAATCCTTTCTTAGTGAGCGTCTACTACCCAAAAGGAAGATGCCTGTCAAGTTTCAGGTTCCTAGGTCTTATGGTTTCTGAGATTTCGTGATGAGTGAGTGAGTCAGTGGTATTTGAGCTTTATATATATATATAAGGTAATAATAATTGTCTGAGCCCCCAAATACAAATTCTACACTCGCTGTTCTGAAAAAACAGTTTTAAATTAATACCTTGATTCTTGATTCCCGTGCAAAGGGCAGGCTTACAGCTAGTTTTGTATTAAATTATAAATATGCCTACTGTACTTAAAATCTGGAAACAAAGATATATACTCCCGCTAAAAAACTATATTTGATCATAAATTACAAAATTCTAGTTAAACAATGAATTTTTTATGTTTAACTTTTTAAAATGATTGATTTAAATAGGTAAAGCATACTGATACTACTAATTTATAGGTATTTATAGTTGCGTAGACAGCAATACTTACAAAATATAGGTGATTACTCCAATTGCCCACATATCAGTAGCAAGGGAGAGGGTTTCAAAATTAACAACTTCTGGAGCTACAAACTCAGGCGTTCCAAAGACTGTTTTGATTTCGGAAACGGAGTCCAACTTTTGGGAGAGTCCGAAATCAATCACTTTTATTGTTGGAAGGGATGTCTTTTCCATGAGCAAGATGTTTTCAGGCTGAAACAAATTATTGTTAACATTTTTTCAATTCTAAACCCCATGAACAAAATGTGACAAAGTCTGAATTACAATGTAGCCACAAAGTGTCTGAGTAACCGATTGGTTAGGCTATAGTGCTCGCCTTCAAATATGAAGGTTGCTGATTGAATTCCAAGCGAGATCGCTACTAGACCCAGATAGGCCTACCATTGTCATTGGGTTATTAATGATGGTATTTAACAATACCCCCGCCGCAGCAAACCCGCAGTCTAAGCAAATTTCCAATTGCCTGTTTTTTTTTTACTCAAATATTTCCTTTAGAATGTCATATTTATTCCCTATTTAAATAACATTTAGTTAAAGTTAGTTTAAATTAGTTTAAAGAGTATCTAGTTTTGCTGCTACAAGGAGGAGAGAAAAGAATTTATTTATAAAAATAAACACATCTGCCTTAAAAAAATAAGGTGTGCCAATGACACAGAACAAAATATACACCCAAATTTTGAAGGATTATAACAGCTATTAAGACTGATTAATTAATAAAGTGTGTTTTTTAGTAAAATAGAAATAAATAGCTTAGTATTAACTAAATGAATTAAAGTTTGATCAAAATACATCCATAAACAAACAAAGTAGGCTACAAAAGTTTATTATTATTCTCCATAAGAATGACATAGGTAGGAATTTAAATTTACAATATTTTGGATTTTCTCCGTAACCAATAACCGTACAAAAACACTTCGATGTACTAAATTATTTGTTTTTTTAAGCCCTTAAAAATGGTTTGGATAATAAATTGGGAAATTTTATGTTTTGAGGGTGAAAAATTAGAAAAACCTATTTTTACCCCATAAAACCCCCCACAAAACCCAGTTCCCATGATCCGATCATGATGGATTGCGAACTCGTTAGAATAAATGTAGGTTGACTTGTTTGTACCAAATTTAATCAAAATCGGATGATTTTTGTTCGAGTTATTGTGCTAACGGACACACAAATTTTAACCGATGGCGTTTTTGGCCTCTGGGGACCTCAAAATGAAAAAGTCAATAGATCCTGGGTCCAGGTCTTACCATGAGACATATGATAATAGCCCTTATGGAAAATTCGCTAAAACCACCAAAATAAAAAAAATTAAAAAAAATATCAAGTCAAAATCACAAATTGGATTTTGATACTACTGCTTTAACTGACCTGGTAGTTTTTTTGCATACCTACTGCACATAGGCCAAGAAAATATGCTTTTACAATCACCACAAACTAGTATAACAAATATACCAGATTTTACAAGGGAAAAGAGATTTCCCAATCTTATCGGTTACTGTATACACAGATATTTTTTTTGTGTATACAGATATTTTTTAAAGCCATTTTAGCCTATAGTAAATCTTGGTAATCTGGAGGCTACCTATCTTAAAAAGGAAATAAATAACTCTTTGTTTTTTGGCAAAACAATCGATGTAGACTACCTTAAGGTCGAGGTGAGCAATATGTAGGGAGTGCATGTGTTGCACTGCCTCCAGTATCTGGCGTGTTATATGAATTGTTTGTGACTCGGACAGATGTTGGTGTTCTGTTACAAAGTCAAACAGCTCTCCTCCACTGACTCTGAAACAGCCATAACCTCTTTAATGCAGTTGACACTTGCAACCTGATGGTCGACAGACTTGGTAATACGATGCTGCACTAAACAAGTCATTGGCTAAAGTCTGTCCAGCACTGAATTTGGTTTGCCTTTCATCAGGAATTATTGTGTCTTTCTCATAGTGGTGTCCAGAGGGATCCCTGTGCTTTTGTTGAGTAGTGTCTAGAACAATTGTTTGTCAGTTGAGCTTGAGTGCAAAGTGTCTGAATTCAACTTAGGCTATAATCTAAGTAGGCATAGGTAGTAAAATTTAGAATTAATCAGGCCTTTAAGTTATACATATTCATCAGGGCCTACTTTATAAACAGTAGACTTACCACGTAGATGTTAACAAACTGAATTTAATTGTGTTTTCATTCAAAAATACAATTTTTTGTATAGCCTAAGTTCGTTGTAGTCGTATTGGCAGAAACTGTTTTTAAAATCAAGTATAAAGATTGTGATTTTCAGATTTTTCCATTTTTGAAATTGTTTTCCATATTTTTAACTTATTCAAGTTATTGACACAAATCACTTGGAAAAATTTAAGATTTTGTTCAAAGTTTGTTAAGTAATACCATACACTTTGTACACTGAGTTTAAGTGTACACAGTTAAATCAATCAAAGGTACATACACCTTGAATGCTTGCTCAATAAGCAATATCTCAAGCTTTCTATAAAAATAGAGTACTTACAGCTCTAGAAGTAGAATAACGGTTTGGCCAGTATCAATGACTTCATGCAGTCTTATAACATTTGAGTGATTTAATTGCATCAATGTGTCAATTTCTCGCTGAATATCTTCCATTGGAACACCCCGACAAACTCGCTTCTTGCGGATAAATTTCCCTGCAAATTGATTGCCTGACGATTTGTGTACACATCTTTTGACAACAGCAAAATGTCCCCTAAAACAGAAATGGGATGATTGCTTGATAGACTCCACAAGTTAAATAGATTGTTAACTTATGATACTGTAGTTTTTTTCCTGGTCTGAAAGTTTAGGCTTAACTTATGTAATAAAAAAAAAAAATAATGAGTTTAATATTGTATTAGTTTAGTACTGTAAGTTATTAAGTTACATTGACTAGGCATACATGTTAGGCCTACCGTAACATGTTCCTACTTAATAGAAGACTTTGATTTCTTGAGCACAGACTACTTAAGTTAATAGTCTGATAAAATGTTTCCCTGATAAACCAATTAATTAGACTCCAATAGGATAAACAATAATAACAATCTGAACAAGAATAAGCTATGGTTAGTGTAGTGGCCTGTTTCTTGAAAATCATTAATGAATTACTTACTTTCCCAACTCCTCGAAAACATCATAAGATTCCTCGAAAATAGAGGTCATGTCGGCTACAGGTTTATTTTGAATGTTAAATTAATAGGACACTTTTAAAATTAAAATTAAATCATGTAAAACGCACAACTGAAAGGGACACGAAAACAAAATTTGACACTCGGAATTGACAGTTAACCAATCTTGTTCCGTTATTATGATATGTCTAGTCTATGAACAGAAACAGACAGACAGCTGTAGTCAGTGCACAAAAAACTGTACCGGCCAAAGTCAGGCAGGATAAAGTAAGAATTTTGTGATACAGCAAAGAGCGTGAATTCTCTCATAGCTCGTAAGCTCATAGATTATAATTTTGTTCTGAAATGTTTATTAATTGTTTTGTCCTTAAGTTATTTATGATTGATGTTTAATAGTCCATAAGCCAATACCACACCGTACCTGACTCGCCATATAATTTCTTATTTTATGTAGCTATAGGCTATGTATTCTAAAATTGACAAGACATTGTATTTTGTAATTACTTAACGGTCATTAAAATGCCATATGCCTTATGTCATAGCTGAAATTAATTCCCTCCATATAAAATAAGCCATAATCTAATAATTAATAATAACATAATCTCACCGATTTATAAGATAAAAGTGTGTTCATGATCACAAGTTGGTACAGTATTTAATTTATGACTCCACTCTTATTTCTCACGCGTTTACATTTTATAGTCAATGTTATGGGACGATCTGAGCACGGCAACCTTAAGGTGGCTGCCATCTGAGACACGGCAACTGGCTCTGTTGGCCATCCGAAAGTTGACGTCAGGCTGGCTGGGTCCGAAATAACGTTTGGTGCAATTTCCAATCAGACTGGCGGACAGCTATAGTATCGATAAGGGCAATGGACGTCTCGTCTAAGATAACCGTGTCGACGGAGGATCGGTCATCTCTGGGGATGCGTTCGTGGCCGACGGTGTTTGTGAATTCCTTTACGAAGCCGGGCGAGCTGCTCTACTGTTTGGAGGTCAGACAGTGTTCCACCCTAAAGGGCTCAGGTGACCCCCGTGGACTGAACGCGATTGGCGTTTTTCGAACCGAAGTTGTGTTGGTGAGTGAGCAACGCGCTGTATATCTGGCAATGGTAGCAACGCAGGACCTCGGGCCTCAGACACTCTTGGGATATCAAATCAAATCAAATCTTTATTCATCATTAAATAAAATGAGTTACAATAGATTTCGTCAAAAATGTATAATGTATAAACCTTAAAGACACCTCAAAAATATGACTACCGGTACACTTATATTGCCTACAAAAATATGAAGATAGGTGACCAGTTTCGTCGCAGTTCCAACACACGAACCGCTGATGGCCCATCGATCGTTCGGCCGTCACCAGGTGAACCAGCGTCCACATTCCCCCGCGAACGTATCTTGGCGAAGGGTCACACGACGCTGGTGGAGAAAGCCTCGTCCGCTTGTGTTTGTCGTCCAAGGGTTCACCAATCAGGACGAGACCTGGTCTTCCCCACCTGTGATCAATTGCGGCGCTGTCATAAAACCAGCTGATGATTTCACGAGCTGATGATTTCACCCAGCTGGTCACGAGCGTAGGCAGTTCCCGGCATCAGGGACATCGAAGGTCATGGTGGTCTGTTGGCGTGCGGAATGTTTGACAACTAAGAACATACTCCTCGTATCACTCTTTCTAGAGGGGTTTTCAGAGCTCTTTCAGCGACCTTAGAAAACAAAAATTGGTGCGACGTAAGGGGCAAGCTTGTACTATGGGCGCATGTTATGGTAGATGAGTTCGAGTTCCCCTTTGTAATATATGCATATTAATTTATAACATTTTATATTTGTAGTGGCAACATCAGTAATATAAAGGATAATTCAGTTAAATAAATTAATACCCTTGGTCGAGCATTAAACCAACCACCGATAGCGTCCTATCCCCCACCACCCCACCTGTCCGGTTCTCCGGTATGATCCTTCTGTTCGCTCTCAGCTGCAGCTCTCGGTTGCCCGCCACCTACACCGACTTTACCATGTAACATAAATATGGAACGTGTCTTACGACAGTCTGCTTAGACTCGAAATGCCAGACGAGACCCGCCTCGTTGGCTACGCCGACGACGTCGCTGCTCTCTGGTTGCAGGCAGAACCGTTGAAGAAGCAGAGCTTAAACGTGGTATAGTGATGCTCCGTGTCAACGAGTTGATGCGGGACCACGGCTTATCGTTGGCGGTTGAAAAAACAGAGATCGTGATCCTAACCAAGAAAATAATTCCCACCGTCCTTCCTTGCAAGTAGACCATGCCCAATTGGAGACCAAGCCGTATGCCAAATACCTTGGTGTTATGATTGACGGCAAAATGTCTTTCGGCGAGCAGATAAAGCGAACTGTTGACAAATCCGCCAAGGGAGTTGTTGCTCTTAGTAGGCTTATGCCAAACGTCGGCGGCCCCCACTCCTGCAAACGCCGACTAACTGATGTCTGCCGTCCAATCAGTACTCTTGTACGGCGCTGAGGTCTGGGCCCACGTGCTGGAGAGGCGTGTCTTCCGTGACAGGCTCTCCCGTGTTCAGCGTCGAGGTGCCTTGCGAGTTGTTTCCTCCTACCACACGGTTTCCGAGCCTGCAGTCATGGTGATTGCCAGTGTCATCCCCGTCTTTCATCTCGCGAGGGAGCGACAGGCGATCTAACGCAGGAGACCTGAAGTAGATAGAGAGACTGCCGCCAGAGAGGAACGCAACCGCAGTTTCGACCGCTGGCAGCGTGAATGGGAAGCCGAGTCTCGGGGACGATGGACCACTAGCTCATTCCTACCATGCTCATTCCTAGCATCCGACCATGGGTGGAACGGGAACATGGTGAGGTTGGGTAAACTACTTGACTCAATTTTTTTCGGGTCACGGGTACTTTCGGCCTTTTTTGCACAGAATGGGGAAGGCTGCCAGCCCAGACTGTTTGTACTGACCTGGCATTGCAGACACGGCTGAGCATACCTTCTTCTTCTGCGACATGTGGCATGTCCGCCGAGCCTCCTTGATCTCCGAGATCGGCGTCGATATTAATCCCGACAACATCGTTGGAGCTATGCTCCAGGGGGAAGGAAACTGGAACCGTGTAAAGCAGTTCCTCGAGGCCATACTTCGGGATAAGAAGGTCGACCTCGATCGGCCTTAGTTTTCTGAGGAAACCAGAAGGAAAGCCCTAGGAGCATAGTTTAAAAGGCCTAGCCCGAAGTAATGTGCTAAACAGTTCCAGGCTAGTGTCCTAGAAGACGAGGGGGTTTTTTAGCCGGTAGTCCGGGGACAATAAGCCCGCGGGAGTCCGGCACTACTGAGTGGCCATTGAGCACATCAGTGTGCGTAAATGCATTTTTACCTCATCCCCATAAAAAAAAATAATGTAACATATACCCTTCACTCTAATGTCAACCGGCGGTAATATAATTACAGTATAACGCGACTTCTTATTTTCACCCCGGTATTACCACAGCTCTTTAAGTAGTGTTTGAGAAGAATCAAGAATCAATAATTCAGTGAGTGCGAACAATTCATTTTGGCGACGAGGATGGGATATCTGGCTTTCACCCTGAAGGCCCGGGTTCGATTCTCGGCATGGGAACCCCCCCACAAAAAACGTATGGGAAGGCATACATGTTGATTTTTTGGGCCCTATCAATAGTAAATTGTACATTATCATAGTAGAAGCTCACAGTAATTGCGGGGTCTTGACTGAAATAAACCCAGCCAGATCCACACTTAATGAAAAACGTGCTGATTCCACTTCCCCATAGCACTCACGAAAACCCTGCTCAGCATAAGCCAGCTTTGATAGGTCTCAAATAAATAGATTAACTACATCTTATTCAACTCTAACTACTCCTCGCCATTGTGAAACGCCTGCAGCAACTTGCCCTAAACATGATATCGATAACCGTAAAGTTTAATTTAGTTACTTGAATTAATTTATTGTTGGTTGATCTTGGTCTAATTTAGAAAAAGATATGATTCCCCTTACCCCCTTTATCCCCCAAAAGATTAATTAACTACTTAGACATTATGGGTACCTTACTAACTGTAGAGTAGACCCAGGAGTCCTTCCCGGTGTGTGGTACAAGCAAGACAAACCTGGTTGCCGGCGGTTGGTCCTTTCCGGCCGGAGCGCTAGTGTCGCTCCGAGTAGAACTGTCTGCTCGCCTTTGGATCAGCTGATGGGGTTGACTCTTACCTTATACCATAATTGTTGGCGGTGATGTGGGTTATCCCCACAGCTCTCCCCCGCTCCCCCAAAAAAAAGGGCTGGAGCTAGGATGCTGGACCTGGAACTTCTGGTTAAAAGGGGCAAGAAAATAGTGTTTGGGGTTTTGGTAGGCAAGATTGCTGCTTGGGCCACACTGGACTGCAGTTCCAGTGGTGGTAATATACTTTGTTGGCGGGGCTTAAAAAAGGGCATTAATAAATATACAAATAGGATAGTAATCCATAAACAAATAAATAAATATCAATAACAAATAACAATGAATAGATAATTTGAACTATAACAATGCGATGAAACATATATCTTAATGATCTATGATCCTGTAGGGCGCTTTTATGCAGGTTCGCTGCCCTAAGGTTGGCATGTTGATAACAGAACTAACTTAATCTACTTAAAACTACCGGTTTGAATATGAGAGATGTGTTTGTGTAAGGATTGGTGTGTTAGTGTTGGTGAGCGTGTATCCTCAAACTATTTCGAAATAGGTTGAGGGGAACAATCCGCTCTTCCCCACGATCATTAGCCCCTGAACTGCGCTAAAAGATGAAAAAAGTTAAAAAAAAGGCTAGGCGCAGTTCACGGTCTAAAAATAAAATAATTTTAAATATGCGCAAAAAATGAATTTACTCTAAAACCAATGACGTGGAGGGGAGCTGCAGCTCAGGTTGTAATGGGCGATCGCTAAACCCTGCCGCCTTCTGAAGGGCGTGCCTACGCGAAACACGACCTTAGTCACAGTTGGCGACAGGTGCAGGCTCCATCACAACCCTGTGTGTGTGTGTGTGTGTGTTACGGAGTGAAAAATTGTACAGTATGGACTAACCTAACTTAATCTAATATCACCAGCTGAGAGGGTTCATGAGATGCGTGAGTTTTGATTTAACGGGTGGGTGGGGGTTTAATTGATGTGGTCGTTCGTGGAAGTCCCTGATTCGGGTGAAAATAGTGCTTGAGCTGAGAGACATGAGCTCGCCTCACAACTTTTCCTGTCTTTGGATCCATTAAAATTACTGTGACAGGTGATGTGTAGGCCTGTATAATAACGGGTTGTGACCAGAGTGGAAGCAATTTAGCATTGATTTTGTTGATTGCCTTGATCTGGTGGTGTAGTCTAAACATGACCCAATCGCCTATCTTGAAGGATGGGGGGTGTCTTCCCTGATTGTATTGTCTTTCGCGGGCTTCTCGTGCTTTAGTTAAATTTTGGTGCGCTTGTACCCATTTGTCCCTGGTTGTTTGGGGGTTTGTGTTGTAATTTAGTAATTGGTCCAAATCCCAGTTTAGTTCTAATGGATGATTGATGTGAAAACTTAAAAAAAGATCTGCTGGGGAAAATCCGGTGCTTGAGTGTTTGGCTGAATTAAAGGCTATTTGAAAAAGATGGATATTTTGGTCCCAATCAGTTTGATGATCTGAGTGATAAATTCGAATGGCTATTTTGATGTTCTTATTCACTCGCTCGGCATGGCTTGGGTTTGGATAGTATGGAGTGGTGGTTATGTGGCGGATCCCTAACTGAAGACACATGTCTGAAAATTCTTTAGATGTAAAAGACGAAACGTTGTCTGACACCAGATATTTTGGGAAGCCGAAGTAAGCAAAAAGGCCTGAGCGTAGAAGTGAAACTGTGGTTGCTGACGTTGTGTTCTTGGCCGGAAGAAAAATGGCAAATTTTGAAAATGAATCGACAATTGTGAGAAGGTATTTATTTCCTTTCTTGGAACGTGGTAACGGACCAATGTGATCTATGAAGATTTTTTCAAATGGTCTTGTCGGTACCTCGGAGGATAAGAGTCCTGCTCTAGTATTTAGGGCTTGCTTAGATCGTTGGCAGAAGGTGCAGGTTTTGACCATGTCGGTTATGGTTTCCTTAAGGGTTGGGGACCAAAAATGCTGCTCGATTCGAGACCAAGTCTTTTTGATGCCTAAGTGAGCTGTGGTTGGGGCTAGATGATAATATTTGAAGAGAAGTGGTATTAATCGGTCTGGAATAACTACTCTGGGTTTGGTTTGGCTCGGAAATTTGTGTGTCAGGATGTTGTCTACCATTGAATAGTTTGGTGGTGGTTTTTTTCCTTTCAATGACTTAATGATTTGTTGTGTAACTGTGTCTTCTGACTGATGTTCCCTAATATCTTTAAAAGCGTCTGGTAATTTAAATAAAACATTAATTTGATGTGTGTGATCTGGTGTGGGTGAACAAGCTACGGGTGATGTGATTGGGGGTGGACAAGCTATGGGTGATGTGATTGGGGGTGGGCCTTCCTCAAACATGCGAGAGAGACAGTCGGCTACTACGTTGTCTTTTCCCTTAATATGATAAACTGTGAATTGAAATGAGTTGATTAGGGTGATCCAACGTGCGATCTTGCCTACCTGTCTAGGATGGTTCAAAAGCCAGGTTAGTGCGTTAGAATCTGTATATAGCTCAAAAGTCAAAATGTCTATGTTCTAAATATACACGGAATTTCTCGAGGAAGTGAGTTATGGCGAGAGCCTCTAATTCGAAAGCACTGTAATTTTTCTCGTGTATGTTTGTGGGACGCGAACCATATACCACTGGTAGAAGTGCATCGTCGTACCTTTGGGACACTATTCCACTAACTCCGTGGATCGTAACCACGCTCTGCTACCAACTGCGGGGTCTTGACTGGAATAAACCCAGCCAGATCCACACTTAATGAAAAACGTGCTGATTCCACTTCCCCATAGCACTCACGAAAACCCTGCTCAGCATAAGCCAGCTTTGATAGGTCTCAAATAAATAGATTAACTACATCTTATTCAACTCTAACTACTCCTCGCCATTGTGAAACGCCTGCAGCAACTTGCCCTAAACATGATATCGATAACCGTAAAGTTTAATTTAGTTACTTGAATTAATTTATTGTTGGTTGATCTTGGTCTAATTTAGAAAAAGATATGATTCCCCTTACCCCCTTTATCCCCCAAAAGATTAATTAACTACTTAGACATTATGGGTACCTTACTAACTGTAGAGTAGACCCAGGAGTCCTTCCCGGTGTGTGGTACAAGCAAGACAAACCTGGTTGCCGGCGGTTGGTCCTTTCCGGCCGGAGCGCTAGTGTCGCTCCGAGTAGAACTGTCTGCTCGCCTTTGGATCAGCTGATGGGGTTGACTCTTACCTTATACCATAATTGTTGGCGGTGATGTGGGTTATCCCCACATAATGGTTGGAAGTAGAAAAAGTTAACTCTACTACAGCAGCCAAACAAACTATTGCTAAGCTCTGCAGGCCCCTATTTGAGAGATTTGGTCTTCCCCACCAAATAGTTTCTGATAACGGACCACCACCACTGTTGACTTCTTTTGAATTTAAAGATTTTTTGAAATCCAATGGAATCATTCACACACATTCCACACCACCATTTCACCCAGCTACAATTGGTACAAACTCAGTCAAAAATGTTAAGAAAAAAATTAAGCTAGGTAGCTATTATGAGGTACACAATTTAGATTTATCTCTTTGTAAGTTTTTTTTAGCCTATAGGAATTCTGTTCATTTAACTAACGAAACTCCTGCAAAATCAATGTTTAATAGACCTTAATGGTGTAGATTAGATTTGATCAGGACAAACCTACCACAGTTTGTACATAACCAGGGCCTAGGGGCAAGCGCCCGGGCCCCCCCCCCACCTCTTGCCCAGTAGTTCTTCTGAATAAGTTCAAAAAATAATTAAGCTTTACCGAATGGCTTCTCTCATTTTGGGTAGTTAAAATTACGTGGGAAACTATTCCAAATACCAGAAATTGCCGCGATCGAAAGAAATCATGACAGCTGTTGCCACGATTGTGGGAAATCATCAAGAATTTTGCCACGATTAAAATATGATCCCAGATAATGACCGCGATCACAAAAAACTGTCACGAGTATTGAGATAATTGTGGATGGTGCCGTGATCCTTTAAGACACCTACGTTACTGCAATTCGGTTGTTGTCGCGATCACGTCATAAACGAATCATCATAACTGACAGAGTAACAGACTAAGCAGATTGATAATTATAGCGGAAGTAAAACAAGAGATTTGTGTGAGGGCCAACCCGTATTCCGTAATTGTAAGAGACTATAGGGGTAGGAACAAATGGATTTCAGGTGTAATTGTAAAACCTCCAAGTACCTACTGTGTCTTACTTAGTAAAGTTGGAAAATGATGTTATTTATTTAGAAACGTCATATCGATCAGATAATTGAGTTAAATAGTGGAATTATTACAGTTATTGAACTTTACTAAGTTTTAAAGGCATATCTTTGGTACATAATGGATTTTTGAAATTCTTCGTTATTTTTCATGACACCACGCAGTTTCTATAAGATGTTTGGCTTTACCAACACACTAAAATTAAACCCTTTCATCATAGATTTCTGTCTTTGGTATCAATCTCTTCTTTAGTCTTGATTTTCATTGTTTTTGCAGGCAGAGAATGAAGAAGGATAATATTAATAATACGGTAAAAGTATATGATAGCACAAGATTTTATTGAACACTAAACAAATACAAGGAAGATAGAAGAAGCCACAGACATTGTATTTTTGCCAGCTCTCACTTATATCTTATGTTTTAAGGTAATTACTTTGCAAAATATTACGATTGGATGATGTAAAAACAAAACAAATAACTTTTCAGTATAGCCCTGTACAACCCATAGCAGTATTCTTTGGATAGTATGTGGTCTTACATTACATTTACATTGGGTTGTTTTTAATTATTGTAATTCTAATTAATTAAAATAACTAAATTTTAATAAATTAAAATTGGGTTTTAGATAATTATGCTAATGGACTATTTGCCACGGTATACCTAGGTTTTTTGGGATTTAATTAGTTTTAAGTAAAAAGTTTTATTTTATCTTAACAATTAATACATCATTATTATCACAATAAAATTTAACTAGCAAATGTAATCCTGCAGATTGCTTTACACAGTAGACCCCCTCTTAAACGAGCTCACATTAACCAATAATCAGATTATCTGCCTGAAAATTTCTCTTTGATCCCCCGGAAAAAATACACTTGTAAAATATTACAGTTTGTTTTAGCTGACCTTGTTTTGAGAGAGGTCTGATTTAACCACCACTTTCTAGGAATCTCGGCATTTCAGCTCCCATGCTCCGGGATGGGAACAATACGCTGAACTCTATACAGGATGTTACTTCCATTGAAAGTATTTGACTTTACCATGTTTTGGTTTGATTCGTCATATAATTATATACAATTCCAAATGAATAGCACTTTAATTTTTTTTAGTAGGCCTATTTAGGGATTGCCTGTTTTAATCGACTTTTTGAGTCCGGTCCCGTTGGGTTCAGTTAGGGGGTCTTACAATTATTTTGAAAGGAAAAAATTTTAATTGAAACAGACATTTTGTTAAAAGTTGGCGGTTAATTTTTTTCTACAATCTTTACCTTTTTCATCTTCAAATTCATTTATTTAGCAGGATTTTTTTAAAACAGAAAAATAACAGTAACATCTCACAATAAGACACTTACTTAGATCCAAACAAGGATACACTTATAAATCTCTGATGTTTTAATTTGCTGATCTTAATCCGTTCTAAAATAAAGAACAAAAATTAAAAGTGATAAAAAACAAAATTTTATTTGCAATGCTATAATTAAAAGAGAAATAATGTATTAATTGATTTTTGCTGATGACAACATATTTAGAAACATTTTCTAGACAACACGTTAAAGTTCTTTAAATAATTAAGAATAGAAACTATGGTTTTTAAAATTTCCTTTCAATAGATTTGGCCGTAGATGAGTTAATTACGCATCAGTGAAAAATCATCACTCCATTCTTCTTCTATCTAGATTACTAAAACAAGCAAATAAATCCCCGATTAACTTACTTTGACCGTCAACATTGTGCATCGTAAGAAACACAAAATCAGTGAAATAAACAAAAATCGTAAGTTCTTTTCACCCGATCAGTTGATTTTTCCAGTTACAGGGAGTAATTGTATAGACTATTCTAGATATTACAGTTATTATTTATGTATATAGGGAGGGGTCAGCGTTGGATATTTATTTTACGAGGAAAGTAAAATAAAGTATGTAAGCGGCGGCTGATCGGCTTCTCGGTTCTTCCATCGCGTCTCTTGCTCCCGTGTCTGTCCTTAGCCTCTCTCGAGGCGTTGCAAGCTTTCAACCGTGACTTTTGCTCGAGGTTTTCCACTTGCTGTGGAACGTTTCAATGTGTTCAATGGTGATCCCTAGAACAGCAGAACATTAGATTACTACATAAACCTAATAAACCAGTTGACGGTCTTTACTCAGGTGAGTTTTAAGTTCCATCAGTGACTTTTAAGCACTTAAGTAGACATCCCATCTATAAGGACTGGCTGTGGCAGATATTTAACAGAACACAATTGAATAAACCACTCTCCGAGTGTGTTGCTGTTAATATTTAATTTTCTCCTTAAGTTTTTCAAACTGTGATAAATGATATGACATATAGGACACTATAGTTTACTGACGATAAGTTGTACTCTCAATTTGGCTTCATTACAACAAACAGATTTGATTTTTTACTCAATAAAAATCAGTAATTGACATCTCTCGGACGGAGGCTCAATTCAGGTCTTGGAAACGGTTTGAATCCGAAGTCACAAAATATGGAGGATTTAGCAATCTTTGATAATCTTCAATATTGCAAGATTGGAGGGATTAATAATTAGTATACATTATTATCTTTATTGCAATAACAAAGGGTTGTTTCCTGTTGTCTGTCAAATCAAAACAATTCAATGTGGAACAAAGGGTTGTTTCCTGTTGTCTGTCAAATCAAAACAATTCAATGTGGTAAATCCGATCCGTTCTAAACTTGATGATAAGCTCTATTTCCAACAGCTCGAATCAGGTGTAGTTAATTGTACTATAACGGATCGTTTTGACTGAGTTACCTGACAGTTAAACCTTTATTGTTACTTCATACAATCCAGAGGCCATCCATAATGAGTTAAGAAGCTTATTTTACAGGTATGACCAGGGTACCTGCAGTGTTGGCGATGCCGAGGGGACTGAAGCCGTTGTTGGTGTTGGGAGAGAGCAGTGTGCGACTGCCAGTCAGTAGAGTAACCAGAGTATCCTTGTCTGTGGTGGCCTGCTGCTGTTGACTCATGAAGTGACAGCACTCAGCTACTTGGAAAAACATCCTGCAAACATACATTTTCTTCAGAGTCTACAGATGGAGAAGAAAAATTGCCAGTAAACTACGCTTCTTGGACTTAATGCCCTGAAACAATTTCACTTTTATCCTATGAAACCTGAAACCTTTACCCTATGAACTATTAAATTTAATTATGCTTCTATCATTTTAGGTGGACCTCTCACCTCTCAGACAGGTAGCCTAAACTGAAACTCCTTGTGAGTTGCAAACAGGACCTGGCCCAGAGAGTATTTAAACCCTATCAAAACGGCTTAATATTACCTTAGGTAGCTTAGCCATGGTCTACTGGACTAGCAACACTTGTTCAAATTCTCATGTGTTCTTAACTTGACTTTCGTTCTGCAGCAGCAGCACATCCCAGTTTCAGTAGTTATTGTTCAGTTATATTTGTACAGATGTAAGTGGGAGTTTGGTTATGTTACTCTAGTGTCCGATACATCTGCCATCAAAGCTCAAAGAGTTAAATTTAAATGCATTTTAATTTAAATAAGTTACTTTTGTACCAGTGGTTCTTAAATCCTGTGGAAATAGGGTTGAGTCAGTAAACTTGAAAAACGATTTAACTTACCAAGCTTCCTTATCCTTCTTCTTCGGATACTTGATGAGAGGTAGTGCTAGATGTTCGTTGGGACGTTGTGCACGCAGAAACCGATTGCCTCGTTGGAACTGAGTCTCGAGCCAACGGATGGTGTCTCGCACTCGTCGACTCGCTCTCTTCTGTTCATCCAGTGAAGAAACCACTAAAATATACAAGCACAGATTACTTAACGTTAAACATTTTTTACAAACTTTTTGTTTTTATTGGTATGGTTTTAGCGAATTTCCCTATAGGGAAGTAGCTATTACCGTAGGTGACACGGTAAGACCTAAACCCGGGCCGATTTACTTTTTCATTTTGATGTCCCCAGAGGCCAAAAACACCATTCGTTCAAATTTTTATATACGTATATATATATATATATAGAGATTTATATATATATATATATATACGTCCGTGAACGCGATAACTTGAGTAATTTTTGTCCGATTTTGATGGAATTTGGTTTAAATGTGTAAAGCGGGATAAACTTGAATGAGTTCGCGAACCAGCATGATCGGACCATGGGAACGGGGCTTTATTTTTGTTTGGTTATTAGTAACAGAGAAAATTAAAAAAATTGTAAATTTAAAATTCCCATGTTATTCTTACAGAGAATATTGTCAAATGTTGCAGTTTGCTTGTTTATGGATATATTTTGATCAAACTTGGCAAATTTATTTATTTTGTACTAAGCTTTCAATATTTTACTAAAAAACACACTTTATTAGTTTCCTTGTAGCAGCAAACCTAGGTACTCTTTAAACCTAATGTTATTAAAATATATTTAATTGAAAATCAATTCAGACAAATGGAAATTCGCTTAGTCAGCAGGTTTGCTGCGGCGGGGGTATTTATGTCAAACCAGGGTCCTCATTCAAACTTTTAAATACAATTTTTGTTTTTTTTACAGTTACATTTACATTATATTTTGTGACGTTGATATGAGTCAGTGGGCTTAGGCACAGACGGAATCACGAGCATTGCAGCATGTTGAAGCACACCTCAGAGACGAATGAAGCAGTAAACAAAGTGATCGGTGGTAGCGATAGATAACGCAGCGATGTTACTGTGTATCATAAAATTTTGCCAGCCCATGTTAAAATGATACACAATAAATACCCCTGCCGCAGCAAACCTGCAGACATATAGACAGAAAACTAGTCAACGGAGAATTATGTTTTTATTGTAAAATGTGTTTGTCTTGACCTAAGGAACAATTTTATACCAAATGTTCTAGAGAGTTCTAGGACACCCTGTATATATAAAAATGTATGAATTTAAACGGAGGGTATTTTTGGCCTCTGGGGACTTCAAAACAAAAATGTCCCGGATCCAGCTCTTACCATGAGACCTAACTTGTAACTAGGAAGATTTATTAACATTTTGACCAAACCCTCTGTATACAAATTTAAAAGTTTTGATATTTTTATTACTTTTTACTGGAAGAATTATAATAGTATAGCAGAGAGAATCTCTAGATGTTAAAGTTATTGCGAGAGATAACCACGATGTTGCTGCAATCGTAAAAGATGACCACAATGTCACTCACCTATGGAAGGTACGAGGATGATGAACTTCCTGGAGTGTACCAGTTGTTTGACCAGAGTAATGTGGTGTATCAGTGCTTCACAGTCCAATACCAGGTATGGAGGTAGAGAGGAGGTGCGTCGCACCTTGGTCTCCAACTCCTTCACTTCTGCCTTCAGCCATAACTGGCCCATGTCCTTCATCAGCCGACCCTTCTCATCAGTTGCCAACTTTTTTTCCTGCATTACATAATTAAAATGAAACTTTGGATGGCTTAAGTACAGTCACAACTAATTATTTTTAATTATATCGGTAATAACTGGTTTGATCCTGAGAAAAGTCAGATGCCATTTACTCCTTAATTTTTGGACTTTAAATAAATGGTTCTATATATTGGAAAGAACTGATCAATCCTAGTAACAATGCAGACAAATAATTTATTAAAAACTCGTCCTTCACTCATCTGTTGCCTTAAAATACACATACTGTATTGTTGTGATAGATTTGCGTTTTTTCTCCCTTCTTTAGTAGAACCTCGATTAACCAGGGGCGGATCAACCGTGTGGCGGATTAATGGTGATCAATAGATGCCTCTAAAATGATGTTATATAACTTCACTAACTCAAGGCAAATACCAAGAAAATTTTATAAAATGTGTTTTTTTAGTCTCATGTGTTAAAATGCTCCGGGCTGCAGTTAGCCATTATGCAACTGAAGCAAATGGGTTACACAAAGATTATTTTTAGGAAACTAATTACAATTTAAAAAGTGATGACAAAATCAAAATAGTCTGTCACTTATCCTTACCTGGATCTGAATCGTAGGTGTGGTCGGGGTGGGGGGCTCTGAGTCTTTAAGTTGAAACCAGTTTCTGTTCTGATCGTAATTCATGTCCGTGCCATCAGCACTGGCCAGCTTCTTGCCCAGCTGGACCAGCTTACAGACTCTCACATAGGCCTGGCAATTAGAGGGCATCTCAATTATAAAATTAATGACCTGAGTTTTGGTAAGCAAAACATATATTATCAGATTTCATAGTATAAAGATTAGTTATATACAGGCCTATAGCTATATAAGTAGCTAATTTGTTATAATAAAAGCCCAACAATCAAAAGGGCACACAGGTTTGTGATTTTACCCAGTGTTTAAGCTGCGGTTGCATTTTGCGACATGGGACACTTAAATCCGACAATTGTTGGACTGTGAATCGTGTTTCTGCTAGATGTGTGCGCATATCTGAAAATTCTGGTCGGATTCAGCGAATCAAGCACAAATTTCATACCCTACACTATCATCCGTTAAATATCTGACTTTTTCTGACAGACTGTATAGTAGCCTAAGATGTTTTAGACAGAAAAAAATCTTCATAAGTTAATTATCATTATTTTTCAATTTCCAAGGTCATTATTTCAACATTAAGTCTCCATTCAGCGGTCTATGACAAATAATGTCAAAACATTAATTGCATTATGAACATTATGAGCATCGTCGCTGTGAAAAATAATCAACAAACAAATGCTAATAACAATTGATGTGCTGCTTTCGGATGAAAATGAATCAGAAACAAGATGGTTATTTTTTATTGACACTAGCTACACAATTGACAGGACATTATATGTATATGAAACGAGTGCAGTTGAGCTGAATATTAACAATCAAAGTAACACCAAACACTTAATTTTAACCTTGTATTCATTCTTTTCTTTTTCGAGTTTTACTTTTGACTAGCCCAAAATATTTGTAATTAATTGTAAGCTCAAAGACAAAGCCGTATGATGCAATACCAAAATCTTTTTTCATAGTTTATCGGGGCTGTTCACTTGCGACTTGATTAATCTAGAACCAATAGATTTTTAGATATATAGATTTTTGCCGCCAGTCTTCTCTAGTCTCTTCGATATCGGAATTTAATTTACAACATCTAGTTTCAAATGTTGGTCGCTTGAATGCTCTTTTCAATCTGGCGGCTTTTTCGATTTTCAGACAACTTGCGACTGATGACAAACACTTGAGGTTATGTTGTTCCAGTTCTCACAAGACAATGAGTTCTATCTCAAGTTGTCGGTTTATATCATTCACACTTTTTGAGATGGATTATTGCCTACTACGGGTTTACCAAGTGTAGAAATCATCACTGATGCACTAAGCCGGGCAAAGCCCTAGCTCACAATTGAATGTTGCAGACGTGTTAATTTGGGCAATTAAGTTATATACTTAACTCTGTAATAGGTTTATATCACACATTTACTGAATAGCTAGATTTCATTCTACATTTGTTTACTGTAGAATTACATTACATATCCTCACTATCCCAAATAAAATACCAATATAATTAATTTAAAAACATTTTTTTAAATCGTAATCCTAGTTGGTTAAAATGAATTGTATGTTTAACAATTACAGTCCGTTATTGATATGCAGTAGGCTTCCAAATTACTGTTATTTTGAGGCTGCCTAAATAACATTTAAATAAATAATAATGTGTATTTAACAGAATTTAAAGAAATAAATAGCAACAAACTAAATGGTCTGTAGTGAAACTGTGAAACCAAGGAGGATACAGTAGACTCTCAGTAATCCGGCAGATATAGGACCATGATACTGTCGGATTAGTGAAAATGCCGGATTACTGGAATGTTATCAATATAAACACTTAAAATGCACTCTTAAACACGTCTCCGAAGATCGTGCGATCAAAAACCGCAATTGCCGCGATCGGGCATGATGACGATGATGTTTCCGTAATCGTGGGAGTCGTTGATAACGTCTAAACGTTAGTGGGAGATGTTCATGATTTTGCCACGATCATGCATGACGACGATGACGTTTCCGTTACCGCAGGATGCGATGATAATGTCTAAACGTCAGCGGGAGATGTTCATGATTTTGCCGCGATCGCGAATGACGGCGATGACGTTTCCGTGACCGCGGGAGTGGATAAGGATGTTTACACGACCAGGAGATGTTCATGATTTTGCCGCTATCGCCAAAGACGATGATGACGTTTCCATGACCGCGGGAGTGGATGATGATGTCTACACGGCCGTGGGAGATAATCAGAATTTTGCTGCGATCGCGGAAGACCTCACCCGTCTAAAGACGCCGGATTACTAGAGTGGTGTAGTGCCGGATTAGAGAGGGTCTACTGTACTTGAATAGCAAGGTTAGTATAGGCTGTACTAACCTTGCTTGAATAGTTCTTTGACTAGGCACCTTGTAGGTGAGGAAATTCAAAATTCTTTTAATAGTACTGTAAATATCACCTAATATGCCATGTTACAACATTTGACTTTTACCTTAAACCATAAGGCCAGAGCCTATATATAAATCATAAATGTAAATTAAGTAAAAAATATCGCAGCAAAATACGAGGCCTATCATATTTTACAAATTTGATGAAAATGCTACCAGATTTAGGGAGCTTGTTTGTAGCATTTTTTCTCCAAGAATATTTTTCCCAGCTTAAACTTTGTTTTACCCTTGGAAAGAAACTATAGGCCTACCCTACATCAATGGGCATTTAATAAATTATCCTAGTTGGCAACAAGCCCCTTTAATATTCAACTTACACATCATGCACTCCATTCTACAATCACCCCGCATTTACAATCAGTCATAGTTGGAGTGACCTGCCTTATTATCCTTCTTGGATGTTTTTTTTTTTAGAAATTGATAGGCCCAATTACAATTCACATCACTTACCTCTTGTCGGGGAGTAAGGGAGATGGTTTTTAGTTGTGCCCAGTCAATGTGTTGGTATGCTGGTTTAAGTGCCAGAAGTCCTCTGACACTAACTTCTTCTACTAATGGGATACGCTCATTCTCTATAACACCTAAAAAATCAAACAACAAATTTAAGAAAACATGATCTTCAGTTTCTAGTATTTTATTATTATGAGTTATTTTAAGACAACACTTTGAGAGTTACACAGAAAAGTTATGTGAGGTCAGAAATTGTCACATAATCAAACATTTTTTATCACAATAGATTTTGAAAAAGATGAAATCAATAACAAGGTATTAGGTATAGGCAGTTTACTAGGTTCTATATCAATGTTAAGGATAAAAAAAAAAATAGTTTGGCAGCCTCTTTTAACCAAGTTTGTTCACAAAGGCTACAGATCTGCACACGGAAAATATCCAGCAAAGCAAGGGGTGAGTCATTACATTACAAGGGTGAAGTGTACTGATATAGAGTAGTGGCAGGTACCATAATCCGAACCCATGACATCACTGGCTTGGGCCCGATGTTCGTGGCACTACTAAATCAGTTAACGACTCACCCTCATAAATATGAATAGATATGGTTGAATTAAGCAGCCAAGAAAACAAAGTCAAAAGAAAGACCATTTATCCAGATGTACTAGTTTAATTATTTATTGTTTATTCCATACTTAATTAAAAATATATTTTGGTATTTTACATAATAAATTATAAAGAAAAGAAATATCTGATATAGTGTACAGATCTACAAAAAATGTAAACAAATTTCAGTAGTTTAAAAATAAGACTGCCAAAATCTTCAATTTCGAAACTTTTGAATCTCAAAACTCGGTAATCGAATCTCGAAACCTAAACTTTTCCAAAGTTTTGATGGTTTTGAGATTTGAGATTCGGTTTTGACACATCACTACTACAGTTGATCTTTATAGATGAAATGTCTACTTCAGTATCCACAGCCTACCGTTGTTGATGACGTCTGGCCGCTCACTGGCTGCTGGAGGCAGTGGTACGACAGTGAGGTGGTTGAGGAACGCTACAGTTCTACCCAGCATTGGTTTTACAGTTTGTGCACAGGCTCGCAACACATCGTGGTTATTAACCATCCAGTCCAGGCAAATCTGCAACAATACCAGGAGTATGAATGTAAAAAATGTTAAACACATGAACAGGTACTAGAGACTATACATACAGAGGAGTGGGACAGCTAGTACTTAGTTAAGTACAGAAGTTATACAGTGGCCAAACTAATATTGTAAAAGTGTGGTGAATGAATTACTATATTTTACCTCCAAAGAACAATTTACTAATAATATAGTTTTGGGCAAATTTATTGATTGTAAATGAACAGATTTATGGAATATACTATGGGTAATGAGTAAGTCACATCAACTTTTGGCTGAATTTTGTCTTGTACCCACTAGAATCCTTGCCTCTGACTGTCATATACTTAGGAAATATCAATTAAAGCACCTTCAAATTGGAGTCCTATATTAATGCCCAATAGACATCTACATATTTTTGTCACATCTATTCCAAAACCTCAAGAAATATTATTCAGTACATCAATACAGTAAAAAACCAAACAAACAAATACATAGCATAGCTAACAGTAGAGATATTACCTTGATGGTCTGCAGCAGGAAGCCCTGTTGACACAGGTGCTCCACATGGTCCAGTGTTGTGTTGGTGGACAGTGCAGGCGTGTCTCCTAGCTGGACCTTCCTTGTGTCAAGCTCGGCCACCACTACCTCTGCAGGCTCACTGTCCGAGTCTGACGAATGAGTGTCAAACACCAACTCCTCCTCACTGAGGTCAGAGTCTGAGTTCAACGTCAACACCTGACAATGCAAAATATGACTTAGGATAGCATTTTTGTCTCTGTGTAAGTATTCTCAAAATCTCTTGCTAATACAGTACTACATTTGATTCATTTTGATACTTTCCAATCTTCAGGTCTAAACGAGTAAGTATGGGCAAAAAACTATAGTTCGATCATTTTGTGCATTGAACCTGGTAATTTCTAAGTTAAAGCCCTCCTTCTGCTGGTAAAGAGAGCAAGGAAACCAAAAGTCCACCACAAGTAATGTGCTGATTTGGATGAAATATGGGGGTTTGTATATTGTAACAAATTATGACTCACTGTCTCAGTGTGTTTCATGTTTATAAGTACTTGCTGATGAAAGAATTATACACTCAAAGAAAGAAAGCAGTTGTTCAGTAATTATTACTTCATAACCCATGTCAATTATTCTTATTTTATTAGTACGGTATCTGAATTCAGAGTAGGGGCCCTATTTTTGAAATTGTTAACTGTTGAGCCACTCACTTTCCAATCGTTTTTCTATTTTTCAAACGATTGACAGTTGACTTATCCAACTGTAATATATTTGTATATGTAAATCACCCCATGAGTCAACCTCCAGACCTCAGTTGTAGCCAGCTTCCATCTAGAGTAACTCCAGCCCGTTCGGTTGTTAGCAGTTTTATAGTGTTAAACAGTAGTTCTTATTAACTTCCTGATTCCCATAGTGTAAGACGTCAGGGTGACGTAGTGACATTAATAGTAACAGTGAATGAGGATAGCAACGTGTCAACGAAGACACTTCAGTGGCTACGATACTTCACCAACCAAAATTACTCACTATTCTTTCTTCTTCCACTCTTTTGGCAGAAATTGCTCTTTTTTAAGTCGACGCCATATTGTTTTAATTTACTAATAATTGCGATTTGCGATTAGAGGTTGTGTATTTGTTGTCATTGTCATAGCACCCAATACGTTATGCGATTGTTTTCTGTAGAATAAATTCCATTTTTAGTTTATTTACTGTGTCAATACTAGACTATTAAATCAAGGGTTCTATCCTTGTTGGTATGTTTGCAATACTTTGAAATGGACTAGGCCTACTAAGTGAACTTATTATAAGATAATTGCTATTGTGATTTATTAAAGATTGTGGTAAAGAGAAACAATATAATTTAGTTTGTTTCAATATCATAATTCACCTAAGAAAGGGATCAAATTTATTTATGTAACAGAATGCTTTCAGTGCAATGGTAAATATCCCTTAAAGCTTTAACTTAAACACAAAAACAATTTAAAATAATATGAAATAAAACGATGAAGGGAACTAAAATAAGGTGATTTATTCTCAAATGGAGATGAAGAAAGCAAATAATTTACTACAGGTATACCTATAACGAGCTATAGCCTAAAACAAGCTTCCATAGTAATTTTATTTTGAATACTTAAACAAGTTACTTTTTGAAATCACTAAGATTAAGACATAACCTCAATCTCTCACAGACGGAGCTGACAGTTTACCTCAGTTTCTCGAAATATTGCGGATTGAGATTAGCCGAGAAAAGGATCCAGAATTTAGAGTGAGAGGTTAGATTGAAGCTCGGAAGTCGCTCTGCACTGTGATTGGTTTAAAATGATGTCATCTGTATTTCGTGCGATGTTGCTGCTTTCTTTTCCAAACGAGTCACTCAACTAGTGATTACCAACTCACTTCTCAACTATTGGATTTCAAAAATACCAAATCCTGTTGTTGGTTGAGTGTTGACGATTAACTCAACTGTCAACCATTTCAAAAAGTAGGGCCCTATCTCACTTGGCAGGGGAGAATTACTCCCCATGGTTCCCCATGGTTAACTGATTCCCATGGTTATATTAATATTATTTTACCAACCACATGTTTTGGCATAATGCTATTTTTAAGATAACATTGTACGTTAAGCTTCACTATTAAATATATTGGTCCAAAAAATCCAGAAAAATATTTTTTACCACTTTGATAGGCTACGTGTACTCTCTTTTGACAGACTTTGGTCTTCTATGTAAGAAAAATATGAAGTAGGCTACAGATAGATCGACTAAGTGTGTACCTCTTCTTCATCGCTAATGTCCGAGGACACTTCACTGCTGTGTCGTCGCCGCCGTAGTCTCCGTCTTCGTTTGTGCCCATTGACAGCAGTCAGTGGTGGGGGTTGTGGAGGGGGCAGCACCTCCTCTAGTCTTCCCACTGCCTTCAGTATCAGATAGTTGACCACAGCCAGCATCACAGCCATCACAACATTCATCTGATCTGAACCTGCACAGTAAAATCTTATTGGTCACAGACAAGTTGTGTTGAGCATAATATAGACTTATTTGCCAACACCAGAAATAGTAGACTTGTTAAACAGGGTGTATACTATTTTATTAAAGTGAAATTCCAGGTTTTTTCCAGGTTTTTCCTGGTTTTTCGAAGTTTTTCCAGGTTCCCGCGTATTTGTTTGGTCCCACTTAAACTATAATCAATTTAAGACTTGCAGCTTAAGTATACAATATAAACTTGCATCAAATTTGTTTCAAAGTCCAGTGAGCTAGTTTTGAAAAAGTAATAATCCTTATTATAGAAATAATTTTCACTATCAACATTACTTAAGGCCACGGAAACATCGTCTCTCTCAATAGCAGAAAAATCATGAATATTATCTTCATTTTTTATGAACACATTATCAACGGCGGCAAAATCCTGAATATTTCATGCGGTCGTGTGGTCGCTTCCCACAGTGACGTAAACGTCATCACAGTCTTACGTTATCATAGAAAAATCCAGGACATCTCCCGCGGTATCGCCGTCTCTCGGGATCACAGAAACGTAATCATCGTCATCCACGATCGCGGCAAAATAACTAAAATGTTCCGAGGCCGTGTGGACATCATCATTGACTCCCACGGTCACGTAAACGTCATCGTCATCGACCGCGATCACGACAAAATAACGAAAATGTTCCGTGGCCGTGTAGACACCGGCAAAACGGGAGTCAATGATCTCCCGCGATCACGGGAACGTCATCGTCGTCGTCCACGATCGCGGCTAAATCATGAACATCTGCGGCCGTGTAGACATAATCATCATCGTCTTTCGCGGTCACGGCAAACCACGAATATTTTCCGCGGCCGTGTAGACATCATCATAGCCTCTCGCAGTTATGGAAACGTCATCGTCCGCGATCTCGGCAAAATAATGAATATTTCCTGTGGCAGTGTAAACATAATCGTTGATCTCGCGGTCACGGAAACGTCATAGTCGTTTCCCGCGGTCACGGAAACGTCATCGTCGTTAACCGTAATCACGGCAAAACACGAAAATCATGAGCATATCACGCGGTCGTGTAGAAATCATCATCGTCGTCTTTCGCGGTCACGGCAAATTTACGAAAATCTTCCGCGGTCGTGTAGACATCATCATTGCCTCTCGCAGTTATGGAAACGTCATCACCGTCGTCCGCGATCTCGGCAAAATCATAAACATCTGCGGCCGTGTAAACATAATCATCGTCGTCACCCGCGGTCACGGAAACGTCATCGCCGTCGTCTCGCGGTCACGGAAACGTCATCGTCGTCGGCCGCAATCACGGCAAAATCATAAGCATATCACGCGGCCGTGTAGAAATCATCATCGTCGTCTTTCGCGGTCACGGCAAATCACGAAAATCTTCCGCGGCCGTGTAGACATCATCATTGCCTCTCGCAGTTATGGAAACGTCATCACCGTCGTCCGCGATCTCGGCAAAATCATAAACATCTACGGCCGTGTAAACATAATCATCGTCGTCACCCGCGGTCACGGAAACGTCATCGCCGCCGTCTCGCGGTCACAGAAACGTCATCGTCGTTGGCCGCAATCACGGCAAAATCATAAGCATATCACGCGGCCGTGTAGAAATCATCATCGTCGTCTTTCGCGGTCACGGCAAATCACGAAAATCTTCCGCGGCCGTGTAGACATCATCATTGCCTCTCGCAGTTATGGAAACGTCATCACCGTCGTCCGCGATCTCGGCAAAATCATAAACATCTACGGCCGTGTAAACATAATCATCGTCGTCTCTAGCGGTCACGGAAACGACATGGTCGTCGTCCGCGATCTCGGCAAAATCATCCCGCGGCAGTGTATACATCATCGTTGATCTCGCGGTCACGTAAACGTCATCGTCGTCTCCCGCGGTCACGGAAACGTCATCGTTGTCGTCCGCAATCGCGGCAAATCACGAACATTTCCCGCGGACGTGTAGATGTCATTGTCGTATCCTGCGATCACTGAAACGTCATCGTCGTCTCCCGCGGTCACGAAAACGTCATCGTCGTCCCCCGCGGACACGAAAACGTCATCGTCGTCGCCCGCAATCGCGGCAAGACGCATTTTACGACTACTACAATCTTCTACCTGGGCTAAAATAAAAATCCCGGAATCGGTCCAAAAATCCCGGCTTTTTCCCGGTTTTTTCCAGGTCCCTTCAAATTCAAGGTTATTTCCCGGTTCTCCCGGTTGGTATACACCCTGTTAAAACAAATGTTGAAACAACCGTGTGGATACAAAATCTTTGAAATATGCAGCTTGTTCACGGATTAAGTTGACATATAAACTATAAATGATAGGTGTGAGCTATTGTATACGGTTCCGTTTACAGAATAAAACCACTACATTTTTTCAAGTTTTTAACGTCAATTCCTCATACGAAGAACTAACTTAAGCAAAATCTATTTATCTAGAGCTTTCCTAAATGAATGACACTAACAAATTAAATAGTTAAGTCCCTACTTATACTTTATTTTTAATGAAGTGATACAACAGGTGCAACAGGTTGTGTTTATTCTTAGTGAAGATACACAAATGAAATCGTATATAGAGTATGAAAACATAAACCTGACATAGATTGTTTACAAAAGTATCTGATGTCTCACCAATTTATAATGTCTTATGATAGTATCTTATAACGTCTATAATTTATTGGCAATCAGTGACCCAAGTTACAAACCTTTGCCCTGTAGTTGCTGAGTGCACATGACAGACACCAGGGTCAATTTGAACAGTATATCGTCAGTAAGCTGAGCTGGCTGGAGACTGTTGTCTTCACCTTCTCCATTGACTACTTCCCTAGTACACTGCAGCATCTCCGTACAGTTCAACCTCTCAATGGCTTCATGGCACAGCTGTAACAGTTGGTGAAAGTTGTATTACTGCAGTTTTAAATTTATTGAATTCTTAATCCCAAGCCTTACAGCTCTAATTCAGACAACATGCAGAAATTGTCAATGATATGATGGCAATACAAAGGTTTTTGGCTATAAAAAACATCTTAAAAAAGTGAAAAATTTGTACATTAAAAATTGACGATTTAGGTAGTTGGTGGGCTATACAGCTGCAACCTAACATGACGAAGGTAACTCTATTTAATGATTCAGTTACTAACACTTAGGCCTATTATGACATAAGAAAGAAAGTTGATCGAGTGCCTGAATGAGAATTCCTTTCTGAACTATGTCAACACTTGAAATGTTTATCTTTACCACTAAAAGTTTCAGGCATATCTACACTACACTGATTTTCTGATTATTCACAGGTAAACTTAGGTACTAAAACATTTGAGGGAGTTGGTCTCAAGTTTAAGATAATTATTTAAAGTGGGTAGGTATACCAGTGGGAATTGATCTACACTCTGCTTGTCAAAGTAGCAGAAGTCAACAATACTCAGAAACTTGGAGACGAGATGGTGGACTGGTGAGGGAGTCATGGTGCTCTCGTAATGTTTCCAGCTGCGCTCCAGCACTCCTGACAGGTTACTCTCTGTACCTTCAAAGGACTGAGCACTCGAGAGGCTGCAAAAATATTAAAATGTTAGAAATACTCACGCCATTTTCTAGAAATAAACAATGTTACAATTTAATTTTATAGGTTTTAGAGTTGGTAAAGATGTTCTGAGACAGATTTATCATATATTATCCATTATAAAGTTAATTGGCTCCCCTGAATTTTAATCAACCCAATATACTAAATCAAATCAAATAAAATCAAATTATCTTTATTCACTTTATACATTTTACATACATGAATAGTGTCAATGCATACAAAATTGGTTATACAATTTAATCTAAAAGACTTAACCATACAGTTTGAGTTTGACAATTATTTTAGAATGGGTAGCTAATTCATTTTTGATTTAAAAACTCATCTATACTATAGGGAGCCAGATTAATTAAGAACTGATTTTAGTTTCTTCAAAAAATTGGGTTTGTTTTGATATGTTTTTAGTAAAGCAGGCAAACTTCTTATAAATAAATTGTCAATATACGAAGGCTTCATTTTTTGAAGTTTTTAGCCAATGATGACTTTTTACAGTAAGACTTTTCCACCTTGTATTGTATTTATGGGATACTTCAGTGTTTATAACTTTATAAACATGCTGAATAGTTTTAAAAATATACAAACCATACACTGTAAAAAATTTCTCCTTGAATTTTTCAATAACTCTCTAATGGCCTGTTTTTGTAATTTTAAAACCTTTTTCAAAATTTTCAAATTTTTTTGTGCTGTCCCACCATAAATTTCGATTCCGTAGCCAATATGTCATTCTATAAGCGAGAGGTATATAAATTTTAACACAGCTTTATCACAGTGATACGCCATTGATCTTAAAAGAAACAAGCCTGAATTAATTTTACCAACCAAATACTTAATATGTTCATTCCAATGTAGAGGTTCATTAATTAACAAGCCTTATGATTTGGTTGATTTCACTTGATTGATCACTATTATTTAGAGTAATTTTAGGGGTTTGATCTTTTTTGATTTTATTTGTATGAAAGAGAACAACATTTGTCTTGTTTGTATTTAGTGTTAAATTGTTGTTTGTTAAAAATTGTTCAATATTTTTGAGCTCCAATTCAGTAAAATCTTTAATATCAGTAATTGAATTACCCGAAGTTTTAAGATTGATATCATCCGCATTAATACTTAATGTACTGGCTGACTCAGTCAATGCATTTGGGAGGTTTTTAATCTGGGCCGTTTGGACATCATCATCGTCTCCCGCGGTCACGGAAACGTCATTGTCGTCTTCGCGATCACGGAATCATCATCGTCGTCTCCCACGGCCACGGAAACGTCATCGTCTTCACCCACGACCACGGAAACATCATAGTAGTCTCCAACGGTCACAGAATCGTTATCGTCGTCACCCGAGGTCACAGAAACGTCATCTACTTGAGCGACTGCGGCAAATTGAAAATTCCCGGAAAAATCTATATAAATAAAATTAGAGTTTTGTCTGTACATTGCTCAGAATTATATATTTTTAGGACATTTTTACGTTTTATACATTAAAGAAGCAGAAACAAGTCTTATCTCTATTTCTGTCTGTCTTTCTGTCTGTCTGTAACACTCAAGATGGCATTTTACGCAATCTTCTCCATGAAAACGAGAGTACCTATCAAGATCCAAGTCATTTTAATGTATTCACTGGATTGGCGAGATGGTCTTTAGCCATTAAAATATGGCCTCACTACTTTGTAAATAAAATTACGGACGTTCAAAAATGCAGTTTTGTGCGATTTTTGTCAAATTTTCGTTCAATTTTTATCATAAAATCATCTATGAAATAACGAACAACTGTTCGGATCAAGATTATTTTTTCTAGCTGTCACTGATATGTTTACAAATACCGCAACCATTTCCGATCACGTTTTGAACGCAAATCCCAACTAAGTGAGATTTAAAACGTTTTTCTTACATAACGGATTTAATTAATCGCAAGTTCAATATTATAGTGTAACCGTAAATGAAATTAAATAACAGGAACCAGAAATTCTTTGCGTATAAATTGTTCTTCAGTTTTGATAACCAGAAAGAAGACCTTGAATCAGTGTTGTATAGGGCTGGGACACTTAATGATCGTCGTAAATAGTTTACAAACAAGGTTTCCACTCATTGACGGCTTCAATGGCGATTGTGTAAAGTGTGAAGTAAATAAAACACAACTGCAGTGGGTGATTGTAACAGAGGTTTAGGGATGATGCTAAACTCGCTTTTCCAATGTGTCACTTTCTACTCTACTTTGTTTCTACTCACCGTGTGATGCAATCGCTGGACCATACAGCCAATATGGGCCCATAGCCCATCTCTTGGGTACGTACGCCTACCTATTTATTCATAACAACCTTTTCGACGACGACCCTTGATACCGGTACTCTTCCGTAGAATACATGGCCTACCTACTTAAGAAATAAAATTACAAATGACCAAAAACCCAACATTGTGTAATTTTTGTCACATTCAACTGTCTACTTGTCTACTATAAGATCCCCGTGCGTAGAACGGGCACACAGCTAGTACGAAATATACGCATAATTCCCGGTAAAAAAAAAATCACGCATAAATCCCGGTTTTCCCCGTCGGTGCACACCCTGTATATCTACAGAAAAAATTAATTCTTACCATCTCATATAGTGATAGGCTGAGTCCAGAAAGAAGTTGTAGTTGCCTACCAGAGTGCCTAACTGATTGTGTGGCATGCCACACTCAGGTTTCCAATACAGCGCCTGAAAAACATATAATTGAAGATTGCGGTATTTAAAAAATTACCATCCATTAAAAAACCAACTAGCTTATAACAAACAACAATTTAACACTGTGTATCAAATAGTCAATGACTGTACCCTAACAAAGGAAAAACATAGTTTGGGCCTAACTAGGGTTTGGTGTTTAAAATAGTACAGTACACTTTCAATTATCCGATATCAATTTAGGAATGAATATATATTTTTGAATTTCTGGTTGGAAAACAATATTAAATTTAAGGAATGTTTCCATTGAAAAATAAAGTGTAAATACTGTAAATAGTAAGTAATTTGCGATTTCTTAAAATTAATACTTTAAATAATGATTACCAAGGTATTATTAAAACGAACAAATTATCAGCAATAACCTAGGTCAAAATAAAATTCCACACAGTACTAGGTTGGCCGATAACCATTACTAAGTTGGACAAGTCGTCTGCAGTACATCAACAAAAGCAGTGGTATTTCTGCCTGGGCATTGCCAGCTCGTATCACCTTTTGTCAGTGTTTGTCATTGCAATATTTGAATACTAACATAATTGTGTCAATTATAGTTAAAAAAAAAATAATTTTATACTTCCCTAACCTCAAAATTTAAGAGACCTTCGTGTTATCCAAGATTCTAGGTAACAGAGGTAGTCTCAGTTCCAACAACCTTGGTTCATCGAGAATGTACTGTACTCTAAATTACGTAAATTTTAAGTTCTGTAAAAATTCTGACTGCATAAAAAATAATCATTTATATCTGAAAGTAATAATAAAATCACAATATAAATACCACAAACGAACACATAATTGCAATTACATTTTGTAATTCAATATAATTATTTATAAGACCAATTAAATATACAAAAGCCTATTATTTTAGATCAAATGCAAGCAAAATGTATAGGAACAGTTAGACGTACTACAATATGTATCTGACTTCTAAGTTAGTCTTTGTAGGCCTATTCAGTACATAAAAGACCCATCTATATGTTAGACAAATAAAATGAAATGAAATGAAATTTATTTTCCTTTAAGCATTGTACAAAATGCAATGGGCATCGTCAAAAAATACACTTGTTATATACAATCATTACAAGACTGAAGTTAAAGTTTAAAAGAAATCAAAATTATTACTAGCAGGGTGTCCGCAGAAATTTTGTCATTAATTTCCCTGACTTTCCATGACCATAAACCGTTGATTTCCATCACAAACTTACTCGAAAATTATAATATACCGTAAACACACGAATAATACTGCCTGGACAGAAAATACTGAAATATGTATTAACAGATAAAAAATTCTACAATAGTCGGTGTTACGGCCGACAAGATCATTGAAAGGACCCTGAAATCCATCCATCATTGGGGATTTCCATAACTTTCCATGACTTTTTGCCTATTTCCATGACTTTCAATGACCAGAATTTTTTTCCATGACTTTCCAGAATGTGGACACCCTGACTAGTTACAATATTGCACGAGTTCATACCAATTTCAAAGCAACAGGTAATTGATAAAATTTTAACCAGGGCCATCATGACTGAATTTGTATGTTTGTACTTCCATCACACTGTGACTGACCTGATGGTAATATCTAGCTGGCAGTTCAGAGTGGTAGCCTGGACACATGTCACTCAGGTAGCGGCTAAGGTCTCCCAGATAGATGAGACAACGGTGAACTGCCTGCTGCGCCCACTCCACACAGCCTGGGTCTAGCGGCTTGTCTTTGCTGCTTGAACTTGACTTTGCTGCATGTCAAACACACAAGAACATAAGTACTTGGTGGGAAATGCTGAGCAGTATTAATGAACAACCTCAAACATAAATTTTGTGAATTTAAGTTTTGAAATGTGATACTGGGCCACACTTCCCGAATGAATAAAAATATCAAAATTCAATCAAGTTTTTTCAATCCTAAATAAAATGATCCTGGTAAGAGATATTGATCCAATGAATTTGAATAAACCAACAACTAGCCTTTATAAGAAATGTTAAATTACATACATTTTTTTAGCCCGTCCTCAGTAATTATCAAAGGAAAATCGATGATCCCTCGTAAGTCCATCTTGAAGTCCAACTGGAACTTGAGCAGTAGATGGTGGTAATGGCCAATACCAGCCTGTAGATGAGCTCTCAGGTGACATTCCTCCACAGGCTTCCACAGCGGTCCCTGAAAAATACTTGTACTGTTTACCTAAATAAGCTCATAGAATTATATTATTAGGAAAACTTGCTGTATAAAAATGTTCTACGCAAGACAATCAGTCCAGTATTTACCGCCAGACAAAATGATGCCTGAGAATATAGGAATTAAAATTTTCTTAGATTAAATTATTATTCTTTTAATTAATTGATAATTTTCAATAATTGTGCAGGTGAAAGTGATGGTGAAAATTATGATGTTGATGTCCTTGTAATTGTGAGATATCTACAACTTTGCCATGATCGAGTTCTATCGGGGAGGGGGGTTTAGGTTAATTGGGTCTAGGGCCGCAAGTACCCACAATCCGGCACTGAAGACAACGTAAATATTTACACCAAAAGAGTTTACACAATGATAGGACTAAGTTCACATTACCTTAGTTTTTTCACATTTAGAGAAAAGGTGTTGAAAGTTATGTTTTTCTACAACACTGCTTTAATTTTACTATGGAGAATATTACAAAACTAAGCTGTACACAATTCACTTTTGCTTCTAAAATCAATTAAATATTTGTAATTACATTCCTTTACTCAATGGTTAGTGTGTAAATCAATGTAAATACAATTAACTAAAGAACGAGTAAAAATAAAAACTGGTATGTATTATATGTTGTTGATTTCTTATTATACTTTTATTTTTATTAGGAACCGTACTCATTATAAATTATTATTCTTATTATTTTAAGGTTATGTTTTTAGGAAAAAGCATTTAGCTTGGATTAAATAAATAAATATAGGATGGAGAGGACACAGCTAACTCACCTGATGAAAGGTTGCAGACGAGTCAACCTAAACGAGTGTTCTTTGACTCGTCTGCAACCTTTCATCAGGTGAGTTAGCTGTGTCCTCTCCATCCTATATTTATTTATTTATTCTTATTATTATAATTTGTGTAGTATTATACAAATTGATCAAATCTGTGCCCTATTTTACAATAATAGGGGTTGGCTTTCTTAAAATCTATATAAATAAAATTAGAGTTTTGTCTGTACATTGCTCAGAATCATAAACTTTTAGGTTTTTTTTACGTTTTATACATTATAGAAACCGAAACAAGTATCATCTAAATTTCTGTCCGTCTTCCTGTCTGTTACGACCCAAGAGCCATTTTACGCGGCCTACTCCTGAAAAACGAGAGTACCTATCAAGTTCCAAATCATTTTAATGTATTCACTGGATTGGCGAGATTGTCATTAGCCATTAAAATATGGCGTCACCACTTTGTAAATAAAATGACAGACATTTAAAAAACCAATTTTGTGCAATTTTTTGTAAAGTTTTCTCCCAATGTCTAGCACATATTCTTCTATGAAATAATGAACAGCTGTTCAAATCAAGATTATTTTTCTTCTAGCTGTCACTGATATGTATACATTGAATGTTGTTTACAAACACCGCAACCATTTCCGATCACGTTTTGAAAGCAAATCCAAACCAATTAAGATTAAAAACGTTTTACCTTACATAACGGATTTAATTAATCGCAAGTGCAATAATATGTAGGGTAACAGTAAATGAAAATAGAGATTTTTTGTGTATAAAATTGTTCTTGAGTTTTGATAACCGGGAAAAAGACCTTGAATCAGTGTTGTACATTGCTGGGAAACTTACATTTTTTAAATGAGCGTTTTCAGTTGAGACTCGGCACACGACCGACGCGCGTCTACTTGTCCATAGTAAAAATAAAAGTAGGCCTACCGTGTATTTATGTTTTATTCGTCATGTATATAAGTGTACAGTTCGTGTATGTGTTTCAAAAACTCCAAGACGCAACTAATGGGGAAGCCCAAGACCTTACATTAGGACTGATGATGGCAATTTAATTTCGCCGAAATGCATCTCCTGTAATAGGATACATTAGGATCGACCGGCGGACACAGGTAATTTAGCCTTTTATTGATTGTCATACCGCAACAACAATCATCATAAAATGAAGTTATGTATAATAAATAGTTTGGCCAGCATATCTGAAAATATGCAAACCAATTGCTGTTCTTTATATAAGAAGGTTTCAACTGATTACTATAAGATCCCCGTGCGTAGAACGGGTACACAGCTAGTATGTAATACAAGTTATCCGTTATTTTATTTTTGCTTACTGTGATATTTATTTACATAATGAGCTGCAGGTAATTATTCCTGACAAATGTTCAGTAGGTAGGGTACAACATAGGCCTATCTATTTTATGTGAAATGATTATAAATTGTTTTTTTTTTGCTTTGATACAGTACCCTATGTTGTGAAATTATTTTTTAATCAACTTTTAATATGCAAGTTTTTAAACTAAGTAAACTTCTATCATCTGAAAATAAAATCGTATGTTACAGAATTTTCATACATGCATCAGCATGTTATATAATTTTTACTAGGAAGCCTTATAAGTTAGTCCAATGAAATTTTGTTCCTGAAATCAAAAGTGGATGTGGTAACTATTTTATACAACAGATTTAAACATCAATATTTTCTCTTCAGTGTCCTCTCCGTTGCAAAGCACGGGTACAGTAGCTAGTCTTTAAATACTTCCATGTTGCACTTTCCAGTATAAGTTTGTTCCATAAAAAAAAACCACAAATAACAGTTAGTTGTCCTACTTACTTTGTGCAGTCTTTTAGCGGTTGAGACAACCTCGTAGTACCCTTTCCTCCATAACAGTTCTTCTCCCTTCCTTCCGCAGCCAACTGGGTCGAGAAACATCAGCTTTTCACAGTACTCTCTTAATTTCATCTGCAAATAAAACCGTTTTTTTAAGAAACACTCAAGGAATTTTCTGACAGAATATAAACCAAATACCATTGTTGCTAATCTTTTTGTTAATTTTGTTATATATTGACTTAACAATACTGATAATTTAAGTATGGATATATATGGATAATAAGTACCTGTAAACATTAGAGAAAACGTTTATTTTAATAACAGTCCAAGAATAATAGTGTCCCTGAAAACATGGCAGAGCGGTTTTTGGAAAGTGGGGTGTGCAAAAAGGCAATTCCAGGAAATTTTCTCCTCACGCAGGAAGAAGGTTAACCATAAGATTTTATTATTTCATTAACAATATATATATGATATCTGCATCTCACAGAAAGTTGCACACTAATTATAAACCTGCAAAGAAGCTATGTTTACATAACAACTATTTATTCAAGTCTAGTTTTGGAGCATTTTGTTATTGCCTGATGTGTAGAACTGTAGTTTGGTAAACAATAAACATTGTTCCCCTTTCTCATGAAAGGGCTTACAAGCATAAATAATATTTATAAAACAATAAATCGATTCTTAAAGTAAGTTAGTTTAGTAACTTAGTCCACAATCAGCATGTTTTAGCGAATTTCCTTATAGCTTATACTGTAGGTGGCACGGTCAGACCTAGACCCGGGACCGATTTACTTTTCATTTTGATGTCCCCAAAAACACTATTTTTTAAATATTATTATGCATATGTCCGCAAACGTGATAACTTGAGTAATTTTTGTCCAATTTTGATGAAATTTGGCTTGAAGATGTAGGGCGGGATAGACTTGAATAAGTTCGCGAACCAGCATGATCGGACCATGGGAAAGGTCTTTTTAAACAAACATTGGGTTTCCTCATTTTTGGCTCTCTTAAAACATAAAATTTCCCATTTTCTCTTCAAACCATTATAAAGACTAAAAAAAAAACAAATAATTTAGTATATTGAAGTGTTTTTGTAATTATTGGTTACACAGAAAAAAAAATGTAAATTTAAATCTCTTATGTAATTTTTACGGAGAATAAGTATGCAGTTTGCTTGTTTATGAATATATATAAATTGATAAAACTTGTCTAATTTAATTATTGTATACTAAGCTATCAACACTTTACTAAAACACACTTTAGGCCTATTCCTTTTTCTGTAGCAGCAAACATATGCATTTGTTTAAGCTCATGTCATAAAAAAATAATTTAATTGAAAATCCATCTGGTAAATGAAAATTTGCTTAGTCTGCAGGTTTTCTGCGGCGGGGGTATTTATTTATTTGTCAAACAATACCACAGCCACTTAGCTGTAGATGTATTAGATTCTTAATTCTTATGAACAAAAATCTTGTTAAAGCCAAGAAGACATCCAAAATACCAGGTCTCTTACAAGTTAATTAATTTTAGATAAGGATAAGTGATGACGTCTCAGTCTTAAAGATTGTGTTATTAGTTAGGCCTAAACCATTAGTTTTTTTTGTAAGACTGCCGGTAACAGTCAAAGAATACCTACACGTTGAGCTTCAGCGGCTTGTGTGAACAAATCTGGGACAGAGTTGGCTTTCTGTCTTTGTTCATCCAAAGCCTTCACGACATCGGCAATGCATCTGTAAAAATAATATAGGGTAATAGGTTAAAAGTTTCACTATTAGAGTAATAACTTATTACAGTAGCCTACTTTTTGAACACAAATCAAGTTGGTGTTGGTACAACTTAGGGCGCAGTAAGTCACAGCTGTTAAGTTTAAAAAATCAACAGAATAGGAGGTATTTTTTTACACTACAAACACATGGGATTTTATTTAAGCAAATTTCCCATATAGGGAATAAGCTATTACCGTAGTACTCATGGTAAGACCCGGGACCGATTTACACTTAGGTTTTGAAGTCCCTAGAGGCCAAAAACACCATCCGTTCAAATTTATATATATATATATTTAATAAGCAAAATAATAAAAACTAGAGTACCCTGAAATTCATTTTTATTTAAACTGATACGTATTTCGGCACTAAGGCCATGATCACAGTATGAGTTATATAAAAGTATGTTATAGCATATTATACATACTTTTATATAACTCATACTGTGATCATGGCCTTAGTGCCAAAATACGTATCAGTTTAAATAAAAATGAATTTCAGGGTAGGCTACTCTTATTTTTATTATTTCGCTTAATAGTTGAAAAAGTAGCCCTAAAAAGTGAACAGAACTATCAAAATATACATATTTATACTATATTTGATATTGTTCATGTGTAGGGCTACTGTAATTAATATTAATAAATAATACACCATAGTACCTTTTTTTAAATTTCAAGAGGTTCTACCCGCGAATCCACAGGTATACAGAAGCCACCATTAAATTAATTTAATTAACTTTGACTTTATATTTAGTTTAAAGGGGCTAAGTTCAAAAGGGGAAAGTATGTTAAAAGCAGTGGTAGCTTCATACCTTACGTCCTAAGGTGGTCGAGGTGGGTAGCCTAAGGTTGTAATTGAACTCGTCGCTCTCTTTCACGACGTCTTTATTACTTGAATACTTTACTTTAATAGCCTACTTTTAAATGGTGACCTGTTAAAGATCGGTGACAACCTCTTAGAACAAACAACATACATGGTTTGTTAATCTCATATTCATCGTGATCCAAACACCTTTAATCACTCACTTGTATCAAACAGCTAGAAATAGCTTCACTGTCCATTCACTGCACCTCTTTTAAGAACATAAAAGTAAATAATAAAATAAGAAAACAAAAATGTAAACAAACAAACTATATTGTCAATTGCATTGGCCAGCTGATGTTCACTAAATTAATCGAATAACATTAACCATAGACTAAGCAACACAAGTAGACTCCTCATCCCATTGTACATTTTGAAGCTAGTTTTTTTTGTCTAGTTCATGTACGTCCACACCGATCGCTGGGGTGGACAAAATTTTGTTTCTATTATTTTAAGGTTATTTTCATGATTTGTGGTTTACTCTTTGGTTATATAACTAGGAGACCAGTTATTGTTTATGATTATATCGTTTTATTTGGTTAAATGAGGTTTTAAATTACTGAAATTGAAAGAAACCAATTGTAAACAAAACACAACCTCTACAGTTGGACGTACAGAACTAACAATTAAATTGGCTTCAGCTGTTACATAAGGATGACAAATCTACTAAGGGAGTATGTTTTATCTATGCATTAACTTCCAAAACATGCAAGGCATAGCCCTTTGGAATTCAGCCTGTGGGGCAGAACCCTTAGGGAATTCGTCCATATCAATACTTTTCGGCAAATCTACACACTCTAAGCTTCATTTTGATATGCCATATGCCTATATTTTTATTTGGTATTTTTTTATTTGGTGTTATTTGGTTATTTGTATTTGGCCTTAACCGTTTACATAAAAATTGATTGTATCACTTTAATAATATAATCGATTTTTAATGACTGATGCATTTCAACACTCTTAGAGTTGTTGAAATGCATTAGTCATTAAAAATAATTTAAAAAAGGGTACTATGGCGTATTATTTATTAATATATATATATATATATATATATGTCCCCGTTAGCACTATAACTCAAACTAAAAAGATCCGTTTTCTATGAAATTTGGTATAAACGTGTAAACCTACATTTATTCAAACGAGTTCACGAACCAGCATGATCGGACTATGGGAAGGGGGGTTTAATGGGGTGAAAATAGGATTTTCCCATATTTGGGGGTTTAATGGGGTGAAAATAGGATTTTCCCATATTTGAACCTAAAAATACAAAATTTCACAATTTCTTTCCAAACCATTTTTTAGAGCTTTAAAAAACAAATAATTTAGTATATTGAAGCGTTATTGCGCGCCTAATGAAATGGTTACAGAGAAAATAAAAAAAAATTGTAAATTTAAAATTCCCATGTTATTCTTATGGAGAATAAGTCAACTGTTGTAGTTTGCTTGTTTATGAACATATTTTGATCGAATTTGGAAAATACATTCATTTCTTACTAAACTATTGACATTTTACATAAAAAAATGTAACCCTCCCTGTTGCAGCAAACCTAAGTACTCGTTAAACTAATTCTAATTAAATAGGGAATAAATGTGATATTTTTAAGGAGGCATTTTAATGTAAATCCAATCAGGCTTATGTAAATTTGCTTAGTCTGCAGGTTTGCTGCTACGGGGGTATTTTTAACATGAGGTTGTGTAGCATAACTTAACACCTAGATCACCATTAGCCTATAAAGTTTTTTTCCGTCACTCTTTTTTTTAATAGAAAATGCGTTGAAATTGTTGAACTAGTTTTCAAATACATTTGCCATGTTTGATGGATGGATGACAAAGAACCATACTACGTGCACTCTAGCGGATATGGGTACAAACAACTGGAATGGAATATCCAAGGCTGTTGCATCACAAAATGGCTACCCTATTCTTAAACTTTTAGTCAAATAGCATCTTACGTTTTCCAATTCCAATTTATTCTCACGACAAAAAAATTACCGTACTCTAGATATTTTTTGTATGTACATTTTATTTAATATCTTTTACAATAGTTATTATTTACATACCGGTAGGCCTATTAGCCTACTAAAAGTTGGTGTTATGGTATGTCATAGAGAGGGGGAATGATAGCGGAACAGCCGACTACCTTAATCTTTTGCATTGTCCTCTTATAGCATCAACGATCATGGAAGTGAATGGGCCGTGCAATTAGTGTGTGTTGAGTCACTACCAACTGAGCCGACCCACTCACCTTAACTTTAACTACTAACTTATTTTTACCCACTTACTCACTTATTTATATGCATGTGAGTAGTGATGTAAAATACCAGGGTATTTAAAACGCGGGGTAAATACCCTGGGTATTTACCCGGGTAAATACCCAAAATCCATAAATACCCGGGTATATTGGGTATTTATGAAATCGATTGAAATTCATTTATACATACCCCTAATTATGTCATTGTTATCATTACATGATAAATTAGGACAGTCCTACACCTTTTACAGTAACTTGACGCTTTGCTAGTACCTTTTATTTAATGATTTAGCACTTTTTAAAATAATACATAAAGTTTCTAAATAAGCATGGGGTTTCGTGTCTTAAATCGAGTAACATCAGTTAAATTTAACTTAGCCTACTAAAAAATAGTATATTTTTAGGATATTATGACTTTTTAACACCTCGTCAGAGAAATAGTGAACCTAAACCTACTTCTACTGTTATTAAATTATGATAGTTAAAATTTGTATAGTATAAATGGATTGGAAGGCTAGACAGACCTAAGGCCTGATTGACATAGGCAGAATACTAAAAGTAATTAAACTTTTTTGTGTTACCTTTTAGTTGGAAACAACAATATATTTGGATAAACCTACTAAAAAATGTATCTCCTGTTATTTTGTCTAACTTAATATAATTTTGAAAGATTTATTGTGCTATAGATTCAAATGTTTTGTATCACAAGTTTATGAAATTAGTTTTTTTTTATTTCGATACCATTGATACCAACAAAAGACCTAGACAACAAATATTATTAAATCCTACCATCTTACAGATTAAATTTTAATTATTTTCTTAAGTTGTTTACACATTGTCCACTACTAGGTTAAATTTTCCTGTCTTTCTTAATAATAATTATTACTTTGCAAATTATTTTTCTTCACTTTCAATAAAATAAATTCATCTATCTATCATAGAAATTACAAAATCATAAGTAGCTGCATATCAAATACCAGTGCAACCATGCGACCAGGGTATTTATGCTCATTATGCTTTATTCTCAGACCTGGGTATTTATGGTGATTATACCCAGAAGTAAAATGCTAATAGTGACCATATGAAATTTTGTTTAATACATTTTATCATCATTTTACTATCCTTACAGGGTAATAATTGTAAAGAAACATCTCAATCTTCTCTAACTTTATTAAAAATTATAAATACCCAGTTTTTGGGTATTTACCCGGGCCTGGGGTAAATAACCAGGTAAATACCCAATTTATATTTACCTACCCACTGGGTATTTACCCGGCCCACATCACTGCATGTGAGGATGGCAGGTTGGTCTCTAAGTTATGCGAATTTGGGGCTTTGTTAACGAGATAAGTGTTTTGAAGTTTAGGTGGAATGTAAAGTTTAGATTCATTAAGGTGAGAACCTAACTTTACCTTGTCCTTAGGCTACATAATCCAACCTAATTTCCCTCTAAGGACTTAAGTTAATGCTCAAAAATCACATAAAGTACGACCCAAGTTAGGCTAACGTACCATCCTTGTGCCTTTTTTGACATGAAAATAAATTTGCTAACGATTATTAGTTTGTAGGCTAACAAATTAGGTTTCATCAAATTTGTTTCATTTTTAAGGCGAGTGCACCACACACTTTAGACCTTTTCTCGGTAATTATGTCAGACCAAGAGAACCATAGTAGGCTAATTTATTTATCATTAGAAACTAGATAGGCCTATTTAGCCTACTGTACCTGAAAACAATGGTGCAAACATTTTTCATTTGTCACAAAAACTGAATAGGTAAAACTACAATCGTTTGAATTTTATTTTGATGTTGTATTAGGAACGTTGATCTGCACATCAATATTTACACTGTAAAATCAAAGTTAACAGCCCAAGTCACATTTATTGATTGATTAGCCTATATGCCATTTTAAAGTAAATATTACTCCCAAAACCCACTTAGACAGGTAAATAAGTTCATTTAAGTAGGCTATATGAAATATTTGATTAAAATGGAATTAATAACGAGGGGACAAAGCAGCATGGCGGTCGTGAAGCATCAGCCTTTGTCGGGTATGTGTAAATTAACAGTTTAAGACAGTGAAAACGCCCTTGAATGTGAAGGTTATTGTTTATCTTGATTTCACACAAAGTGCCTTAAGTTATCAAAGAAGTAATACGATGCAACAAATATCGTTGCAGATAAAATGCAGTGGTTCTGTGCAACTTGCGATCAGCGAGTGAAATCAGCTATCAGCAGAGATTTAAGGACCTGGAGAAGAGGTCGATGAGGTCAAATCTAAAATAAAAATTTTAATAAAATCACATGATAATCTATAAACCAAGCTGGGAATCCATAATCAGAATCCATAAAACAGAATATTAGAGCAAACTGCAATAAACTTAAACTTATCAGAAGTTTTGGCAAACAATGCACGTGACTTGAAACAAAGTTATACATAGATGATGACGTCAGTGACAGCTTCATTCCGCAATAACTTAAGTCGAGTATAAACAGCTGTTTGCTCTCCTCACTCAGTCCCCAGCCCACATTCGGACCCGTCCAGACCACGCCATATTACCATCAGTAGGCCTATTGCTAAATGAACCTTAGATTCGTAATTTTAACCTTCCTTTTACAGCCACTTAGGAATCTCTCCGACAAAAACTGATTGCATTTTTGAATTCAGCGTGAAAAAATCTGTAATGTAGACATCTAAAATTTATATCATATCTCAGTGTAGACATATTAAATAGCTTAATTGCCGGACTGGATGATAAAAAACACATGAAAAGTAAAAATAGAAAATTTTCAAGCCCTAAAAATCATTAATTTCAAGCGTTTTTCGCGATGTTTAAACTCAATTTTCAGAGTGAATTACCCGTACCGTTTCCCCCAAAAGTGCCAAAGGTAAAAAGTGCTTAAAATAACATAATTTTGGTAGATAAGGTAACAAAAATGCAACATAATATAAGTAGTACAAGTTCAGTATTAAGTACCTGTTTATTGGTCAAGAACTTATCTGTAGGCCTACTAGTTTTAAGGTTAAAAATGAGATAGGCCTAAGTAGATGGTCTACCAATCATATGCTAAGTACTTGAAATTTGCTGTTACTGAATGGTTTATGAATCAGAATGGCATATAGAGGAATGGAATGGTTAAATCTCTATTATAATGATTAAAGCTACAACATTCAACTTAGGCCTACTGTAAAAATAGTGCAAGAATAAAGGCCTAGGCAACTTACTTGTATAAGCGTTTTGTCAGGTCAAGACTTTCATTCTTGACATCCGAGATAGGCATATAAGACTTCTTCATACTGTCAACTCATCTTTAAACGGATTGCTAAAACCTCACTCTTTCTCATTTAGAACGGAAATTACGAAAATAATAATTCATTTCTGAGTGATAACACTGAGAACTACAATCGCCTTCCATCACCAACACAAACTTGTTTTTGTAGGATTGTATTGTAGGTTTGGTTTGAATTGACGTCACATCAATCTTCCCCCACTCGGCACTCACTACTAAACCGTCGCAACACCATGACCACGTTTCAAGGGCATCGATCAAGATGACCGGCACACGAATTAAATAATCATCGGCTACAGAGGGTTTTTATAGTCAATGGGTGGTATCAACTAACTATTAGATTACTCAAAATTATTCATGTTTCTGGCCCCTGGACTGCTTTTTTAAGACAATAACAGGTATTATTTATTTCGTGCCTCCGTCAAATAGTCAAACGATTAAGGTCGATTCACACCACAGCCACCGACGGCCACCTTTAACTACAGGGCTGGCAACGTCGCAAGTGTTGTTGTTTAGTCACAGACGTCCCATAACATAAGATAACATGGCACTCATGGCAGACAGGTGACATCAGCTCATTAATTCGCACTTTATTGATTTAAATTTATGAACATATTTATTAAAATATTGAAAATAAAACCATAAAACATACAGAATTGAAAACCGAAACAATATGAATTAAAAATCTATATCTGTACATTTTAAGCGAAGTCAGTAACCAATCTTTCGAAATACACAAACCATTAGCTGCTTCCAAACAAAACAGCTTCAACACCACTTGCGACGTTGCCACTTCGAAGGCCGCGGCCGTGTTCACACATATCAGTTCAGTCACAGTAGTTGCATCCGCAATTTCTCAGTCAACTGTCCGTCAGTTGGTTTCAGTCAGTCTTCCGTCTCTAGTATTTACGGTAATTTACAGTCAACAAATTATCAATCTATATTCAATCAAATTTTCATCATCCATCTTGTAAATTGTTACAAACAGTACTCAAAATATAAACACGATCATTTAAATAAAAAATAAAAAAAACACTATTTTCTAACCTCAAACAGGTCCGTCAGGCGTCCCAATGATCCAAAGATATCGGTGGAAAGAAATCTGAAATTGACTGACCTGACAGGGCAGAGCGACTGACGGAACTGCAAAGGATGAGTGTAGATAGCGCAATAGAAAATCTATTAAAGAATATTTTTATTTAACTGTGACGTGCCGTAACTGATGTGTGTGAATCGACCTTATCCAGATTAGTTAGTAACAGTACCGGCAGCTTAACATTTTCAAAGCTTGCAACTCGTCAATTGAAATGCTTTATTTCCGTGAACATGACACATGTGTGGAAAAAGTCAAAATAAACTAATACCAAGTAAGAGTACTTAAAATTGCAACAATTACATGATTTGTTTGTTGGTTTGTTACTGCAACACTCCATGCATTAAAAATAAAATAAAACCACACTTGTAGAAGTCATAAAATAAAACATACTACAAGTTGTCAGGAAGTAAAAAAACCTCATGGATTTGAGTAAAGTGGGTTAGCCAAAAGAAACTCCCTCGCCTTTTTTTGGAATTCAGTGATTGGCAGGTTCCGAACTGTACAAGGCAAATTTGTTCGTTAATTTTCAAGCTGAAAACAGGTAATTCGTACCTTTGATGCCTTGCGCTGTCGGAGCACTACTCGTTGAGAGTTTGTACACTAACACCGGGGCATTAGAATACAACGATAAACGTATTCTTTCAATGTTAAAAGATGTTAATAATTACGTGATGTTAAAGTATTCTAATGCCCCGGTGTTAGTGTACACACTTTCAACGAGTAGTGCTCTCACAGCGCAAGGCATCAAAGGTACGAATTCACAGCCCAAACGAGTTAACATATCACATTTTTTTAAATTCCAACATACAGATAAATTTTTCCCAAAAACAAACAGCCATTTTTAATTTTTTTTTAATTTTTATAAAAAACAAAATTTTAAATTCTTTCAAAAATTTATAATTATTTTAAATAGCTAGTGATTATTATATTTTTTACCACACCTGAATGCCAATTTTGGTGAGAATTGGGCATTACCCATTCTCCCTGTGAATTGGTACCAAAGATGAAAAATGTACTACTTTCAAGGTCCATATCTCGCTTAATATTCAAAATAATTTTTTCTTACTGTCGGGACCACGTAAGTTTGCAGTTGGTGGCAGCCAAACACAAGACAAGGCTATTGCGACGTTGCCACATCGCCCGTTGACAACACTAATTAAATGTACTAAGCAATATTTTCAAATCAGCTGGTATTCTTAGATTTGGCAACACCGCACGGTTCTCATTGGTTCATTCAAAACCACATGGTAAATAGGCTCCTCCCTCAACTGCAAACTTACGTGGTCCTGACAATATATATTTGTATCTCTAATTTTTAGTACAATTGAACAATAACAAAAAATCAGACATGAAAATTTTCGCCAAACACCCTTAAATTTAAATATTTACAGCTGACTTCAATTGATATATTTACATTCTTCCAAAATGTAAACATTGAAAATTTGGGGCTTAGCCCAAGGGAAATTTGGAAATAAAATAATATAGTATTGCATTGTCATCCATTTGTGAGCTATGTTTCAAGTTTCACGTCTTTAGCTGATCGGGAAGTTAGTTTAAAATCGATATCAAAAATTGTACCGGACAAGAAAGCGAGCTAATAAAAACGTTTTAATAAGGGCGTTTAACGGTCTCATGGATACAAAATTGCAGAAAACATGTTAGTAACTGGGAAAAAGATTGCATCCTCAAACTGGAGACATTTATCAATGGCTTTAAAAAAATCTCTCAGGAATCCACCCCATGGGGTCTCAAAGTTTCAATGTACAGTAATCCTTATGGAAGCAGTATTTGACACATAAACAAAGGCATAAGATCAGCTAATGACTTGAATGCAGTAGATCAAGAAATAGCTTATGGCATTATTCCACGGATGTTTGAACAGAAACTGTATGGATCATAAATTTAATTAAAATTACGACACTATAGCTTCATTCTTATTAATAGCCCTAACATCTTGTTTGTATGTTTATTGATAGTTCAATTTTGAATATTAAAACAAACATGAAAGCTTTGGGCCCATCCAACTAAATTAACAGTTGAAGTTGTGTTTGAAATTTCTAAGCTTACTTGGGAAAAGCTTGTATTTAATCTTTTTAGTAGCCCGTATATTAGAGATCATTTGGTTTGTGATTAGTATACAAATCTTGTAGGATTTTAAAAGAACAGAACCACATATTTTAATGCGAACAAAGTTGACCCGTTTACATGGTAATACATATACAGCTTTTTAAAAATGTGTCTTGGTTGATATAGTTTTTTATGCTAAAGGCTTACTTGAGAAAAATTGAACTTTTAATATTAGATTTCAAAAAAAAAGTAATGAATTAGTTATGAATTAAAACTTAAAAAAGTTTACACATCATCCATACACCGGTTTCCTCGAGTATATAAATGATGTGTTTAAAATGCCGCTAGGTAGCAAGTAGTACGATCTTAACTAAGCACAACAATTTTAGCCAAAACTCAACGTCTCTTCGTCTTCGATCACTTTCCGATTGATTATAAAAATTATTAACGTGTTAACACATGGATTATGGTTCAACCATCGATCTCTATGTAGTAATAATAGAGATCGATGGGTTCAACAAACGCTGGAATCAATGCGAATGTGAATGTTAATATTTAACTGTTGTAAAAAATTTTATTTTGAAATGTTCACATTCATTAAAATCAAAATAAAGTCAAATTACAATTCATTTGAAGTAAATATAAGTTTGATAGGCTTATTGTAATTTTATAAAAAAACACGTTAAATTGTTTTACTGAGTATACTCATCTAGTTGACTAATTAGTTATGTTTTAGTAGTTATGAAGGTCTCAGATTTGAGAGAGTGATATATATTTCGTGTTTTCTCTTATATAATCACCATCACATGAAGTCCTCTTATATTATGCATTTATCAGTAGCCAAAATTGTAGAATCCGAAACTATGTAAGGGTTGATTTCTAGGTTATCACCAGCTGGAACCACTGAGCTAAAATTATAACTGGAGGTAGCACTGCCATGGCAGAAGTCTGTCAAAAGCGAGTCGCTGATTTTGTTAGGTTGGTATAGCAGTAAGTTTTCTTACCATAGCAATAACATGGCTTCTTATAACTAGGTTGTATAGCAGTGAGTTTTTTTGTCATAGCAATAACATGGCTTCTTATGGACACCCACCTCACGCAAACATGGCGGCTGGCGACACGCATCTTTGACATTCAGTGCTACCTCCAGTTAGAATTATAGCTCAGTGGCTGGAACTGTACCACCCAGTTTGGGAAAATTGAAGTTTTAAACTAAACAAGTTGTAGAAAAAAGAGAGAGGCATCTGTAAAATATTCTCTTTTCTGTGGTCATTTACATAAACTTTGACTTATACAGTCCTTATACTTTATACTTTGACTTGAGTTGGAGTAGTTCACTGATACTTACTGATTGATGGGGTCAGAATTTCAATATACAAAATACATTTAAAAACAACTGATGAAATATATGAAAGAGATGTTAAAAAGGCAGACACCAACCCGTAAAATAAATATAAGATAGTTCAATAAGAAATAATTGTAAGAGTTACTGTACTGTGATAAAATGATTTTCCACTGATTTCGTAATGGAACGTTATATTGCAAAACATGACATGATACAGAAGAAAATCAATTTTAAAATCAGAAAATTACATTGCAAATACATCTTTTGGACGATTCAGTAACTCCCAATAAAATGTGTGTTGTTTAAAATACAATTTTTAAATTAACAGCTGTTTCATTAAAAAATATTGTCCACATGGCCAAAATAAACAAATCTGCGTAGGGATCTTTAAAGGCTTCTGGGGCAGAGCCCTAAGCTAATTTACTTCGTTTTTCTTTTGATAACTCATCTACAGACCAAGACCTTTCTTTGGACACCTCTACTAATTTTCTACGCCCAGCCGTTCTCTCAAATTAGTGGAGACAAAGTTTCCAACTAAATATTTAGATTCCCCCATGTTAATCTTATGGGAGAAAACCCAACTTTGATGGAAGATCCTGCCCAAACTAATAAAGATAAACACGAAAAACACTTTGCAAAACTACAGATCAGGGCCA